TATCATGATAATACCTTAAAGAGGTAATCAGTGCGTTCGTGGACGTTGTCGACGCGAGTCTTCGCGGACATAATGCACTCGTAGTCCCAATGTAGTTGTCGACGGGGTCATATTTTTCGCGGACATTTTTCGTCGCGGTCACTTCGTGATCGTTATCACAGTAGCCTTCACGGAATATTCGTCGCGGTGTTCTTTTCGGTAAACACAGTCGCCGACGCGGTCTACTTCGTGATCGTTGCCACGGTAGTCGTCGCGAAAACCTCACGATAGTCATCGTGGGTAACTCTGTCTCGGTCATCACGATGGTATTCTTCACCGTGACCCGCCAGAGGAAGCAGTAGTAAGGCTCATAACCAGTGGAGAGGGCAGGAAGCAGCAGCAGACACGTGTGTGGATGGAGGAAGAACTGAAAGTATATTAGTTCTGACGGGAGAGAAAAACAGCCAATCAGACTACACTATGATTGGCCACGACATCTTTGATGTTTCGTGACAAATGTCTGCGCTGTCTTCTACCTGAGGAAAAGCCTCTAAAAGGCACAAAAACCTCCTACACAGCTAGCAGAATGCTGCTACCTGACTGACAGGGCAGTGGGGATGTTCTCTAACAGAACAGGGTGTTCTGACTGAAACTAAACGACGAAGACGACGGCAACAGATACAAAATATTTCGTTGACCAGAGGGCCTCTTTATTTTAACCCAAAACTCGACGAAAAATAGAAATGTCGATGATTTATCAAAATTTGAACGTGTGTCAGTCGTGCTTTCTCCTGCCACGTGATTGGCTAATGGGGATTTTGTTGTGTTTTGATCCGTCGTGTTTCCCTCATTTTCATGCACACGAATTGGACATTTTTCAGCATGTGTTGTCCAATCCAAAGTGTCTATTACTTAAATACAAAGCTTCATATAAAGAATGATGTGCTTGGGCGACAGCGAAATGGGCCGCAAGATGTGGCCGCCGCACACCCAGGTCCAAGCGCAAGCACAGAAGTACACGAGCCATAGGAACAATCAGATCGGATAGTGCCACAACTATAGCGACTAGCTATACGTATACTTCCCCGTCGAGCGGTCCTGCAGGAAACTCACAGGATCGAGCCGCTCCATACCGCAACCACGACATGACACGATGACAACGTGGAGGTCGCTAGGGAAGTCTAAAGGTGCACCGCAGTACACTAACATGATCGAAAACGTATTGTTAGGAAGTATCTATGATGCATGGGTCACCTGTGCTGCCTTTGACGAGAACATCTCCGTCAAAAGTCGGCTTTGGCCTCCATCGGCGTGGACCCCAAGGTTCCATGGCGCGTTAAGTGATCCAATCGTGAAATCAAGTAAATCATTATCCAATCAATTTAACATACTTGGAATACACAAATACCCCAATCACGACCAAAGTATGACTCTTTGTCGTGCGTGAAAAAATGAATTTCGAAGTACGACGGAAATGAATCTGATTGGCTCCGTTTGTATTGAAAAGTTACTTGGAAGAGGCCATAAATACCGTCGGTGGGTTGGAACGCTGAAGGACCCGGGTGAGAGTGGAGGGAGGTACAAAGAGGTGGGATAGGATGTGGGTGTTGACATATATTGAGGCGATTGCCATTACGACTTCCACGGTGAGTGCGGCCGTAGCCTTGGTCGCGTTCGCAATCAAGGTTGTGGTCACGGTCACGGTTGTTGTCACGATTTCTCTTCTTTTGGGAGGCAGCGCCATGTTTATTAAAGACAGTGTGATCAAAACCAGGACGTCGACTTCAGGATAGGGCATACAGGGAGCGTGTGAGTGGCAACGGCTCAGTATAAGTAGGACTCGCCGGGGTGGTTTGACGCAATCAATGTGAGCATATCTCGGGAGTGTGAAGGCGTCTCAGAACATGAACGGATCCATCGGCGTGCGGAATCGCTTGGGGTGTGGGCGCTGGGACCTGAACTGCATGCGTCACGGCTGCAAGTTGGGTTCGTGTTTGGATGGTAGCGGCAGTGCTGTAGTCACCCAGAGTAGACGCTTGTTGGTGTCGGTTCGTAATAATACGCCTAAGGGAGTTCCAGACTTCAGAAACGACGACGGATTAGTTAGCCGCATGTGCAGTGGCGACGGAGTTCGTCACCACTTTCCACAAGTCCTTGTTACGCAAAAAGGTATCGGACATCAGAAACAGAGTTTAGTAGTTTCAAATAGGGTTGTGGTGGTGAACGGGCGAATTCGCCGACGAATCCAGAGGACTGGAGGAGGGCGGGGACATAGACACACAGTAGCCTATAAACACATCGGTGGCATCCGACATCAAACCGACAAATTTCTGGAAGGGGACTGAATATGTCGTGATATCATTGGAATAGAGTCGTTTAAAGTTTTTGATTGGTCGATGATCTGTTGTTTACCAACATATCACGCTACGTAGAGTAATAACACGATATACTTGGTATGGTGTCAGTGTTGGCAGTTTGCTTTGCACGGTGGGCGAGCTTGCTTAAACCTTGGCCAAGAGTGTGCACCAGTACGCGACTGCTAGCCATCCTGCACTGACGGCAACAAAGCAATTCTCAGTGGACAGTTTTGTTGCCCAGAAGGTCATACCTACGGCTCCAACGGCTCGCGAGGCGTGGCAGCAATGGTTTGTGGCGGACCCCGACAACGGCTTGACTTGCAGTAAGGGTATGATACAATTCGACAGGAAGAAGGACTCTGAACGGTAAATGTTGGCGAAGGCGTTTAACAATTACCAATCGTTCGATCAATTCGAAGCCTCGTACACGGGCTTTACCAATTCGTATGCAAGAATCCTCAAAGAAGTTCGGCGTAGAAAGCAAATTCGTACAATGTAATTCATTTTTTCTTGCACTCTGTTTTGAAATATGAGGTGATAGAACATGGGACTTACAGTTAATTGGTGGCTAATTGAAGAATTACTCATTAATAATTGTATTTTATCCTAGCTCATCAGCAATACTGGTTGATTTCCAATCGCGAAAACACAATTCTTAAAGTCTAGTCTACTAAGGCAAAGGATAACCATTGTACTCCATCAACAAGAACTCCGTTATCCCGTTGCCACGGCCGATTCCTTGAATTGGACTGTGCCACAAAGTGGAGCCGAGGTGTGGGATGGTGTAGTTGACGGCCTTGGTAGCCCCCCGTCCGAAAGCAGGTTTAAGATGAAGATGGATGTTAATGGCAAATTGGGAAATGATGAATTGATGTGAATGGGTACTAGTAAGCTAACGTTAGATGTAGTTTTTTATGACAGTACGAGAATAAAAGGACGAGTCGGACAGGACGAGCATCACATTGAGGAATTACTGAATATCAACCAATTAGAATCTTGTCGGATGTATTTGTCGGATTTCCAAGATAATCCATAAGCTTATATACTGTCCGTTTGGGCGAGTCGAATGCAATGAAATTTTCCACTGAGCCTATTTTAACGCAATTTTTTATCTCATCGTCTTCGATCACATATTCTGCTTGCAGAAGGTTGATGGCCCAAAACAAAACGATGCGCTTCGTTCGCAAGCAACAATTCCAGCGACGAAACGTAATATTTTAATGTAGTAGTCTATTTAAATAGTTATATTTGTTCAATACTTTTAATAATTTGTACCTCTGATATAGTAACACTATAGATTATTTAACGTTTATTCATTTAAGACTCAAGTATAGAATACTTCGATGCAGCAGTTTTAAAATTGCGTTTCCAATAAAGTACGTTGCATTATCTGCTTAAACTCATTTCAAACCTGGGGGAGTAGAATGCGATTCCTGGAAAAATATAACTCCTCACGGACTGCAGGTTAAACTCCTGAATATAAATACACCTTCGGATCGAGGAAATACCTCCTAGGGTAAAAGTTATGGGAGAAACCATTCTTGAATTCCTTCCGCCAAGAAGTGGGGGTCTTGAGCGTACCACTCGTACCACAAGTCTGCCAAGGACGTGGCAGCTGCCTTGTGGCGTTTCGTTGGGACAGTGGCTTTGGCTTCGTGCGACGGCATGGCGATGGAAGGTGCTGGAGCCGCACCAATACCGACGTGTGCTTCAAAGGCAGCGACATGTAGGCCAAGTGCCTTGTTGATAGCAACCAGTTCGTGGATCACTGCTTGTTGCTGCGCAATGGTGTCGTTCGCACGTGTGCCTATCCTTTGGTGCGGTGTTTCGACCACAGCTTCGTGTGGCCGCTCAATGGATGCCGCCCACGCCAAGAGATTTCCAACTGTGAAACCAGAGGCGTTTGCCGCTTGCGCAAGCCTCGCCACAGCAGGACCATGGGGACAAGTTTGCATCCAGAATGGTATGTGCCACAACATCGTTGCCATTAATATGTCTAGCACCGCCGGCTTGATCAACAAGTTGGGGTTTGCTAACCCAACACAGTTTTGGTAGGCCACGGCTTGGACACGAGCGACAGCAAAGCGGGATGCCGGATCGAGTGTTGTATGGTCAGTTACGACAACATTGCCGGTGGGAGCCCAGTCGCTCAACACCTTTGCAATATTAAGGGCTTCTGATAACATGTTGAAAATGTACGCGAAAGCCTTGTTTGTCGATGATAGCTTCCACGCTCCACGATCAAAGATCCATTGCGCACTCAAGCCGCTGTGGCCATTTGCATGCTAAGCACCTCCGGGTCGAACGCTGTGTGAAGTGAGTTCGTGCGTTTGCCTCGACGGTACGGCAATCCTCTTTAACAGTCGATTCACGCAGGCATGAACACCTGGATCGGCCGTGATATTCGCCGCTTGTGGCGAGTCTTCAGTGCACGACACCAACACCACCAAAGGGTCAAGCATGGAATGAAGTGGGGTTCCAGGTCCGATGGTGATCGCTTCGGCTGTCACAACTTGAGGAAGGTTCAACAACATGACGACTGACGGGGTAGCTTGAGTAAGAAGGGCTAATGCGATGGATAGAAGCGGACACGTATACGGGTTTTGGTCAGGATAGTGCGCAAGTCGCTGCTCCTCGGACGTCTTCATGCGCACGAAACCAATCGTGACTACAGACCCCGAAGTTACAGCGAGCTGTTGGCGTTGGACAAGGCAAAATTCTGAAGCATTACCAAAGGAATGCCACAGCAGGACTAGCATAGCAGCATCTTGATAATCCTTTGAACTCTGAGCGTTGTGATGCAGCCACTGAACGAGCACATACAAGTCTTGCTTCGTGCAAGCCTTGGCTTTCTTCACAACGCCACCATGTTCACGTTTCCAACAATGACGCTCAAGCGTGCGCGCCATCTTCTGCAGCCGTTCTTCCAGTGACACGCGTAGTGACGGATTTTTCTCCAACAGCCAGTTCTTGGTCGGTCTGTAGTATTGCATTACAGTAGACTTTGCCAACTTACGGCCGCAACTGCCTCCGTTAAAGGCAATGTGGATACCATACTAGTCTATTGCTGCCTCAAATACCGATGCCGTCGCATCCTGGGCAATGCAAGCCAACAGAAGCTCGAAATGGACGTTTTCGGAGGCCACCCACCGTTTAAACGCATTCAGTGCGTTGACGCGAGCCCTGGCAGTCTTCGCAGGCACACGGTTGCGTAGGCTCATGATGCTGCAGGTAATCGGATGGTTGGGTACCAGTTACACTTAAGATATACTACGGATTGGTAATTTAGGTTGTGTGAAACAGGACAAAGTCCTCAATGTCGGAATATGAATCATTTCCAGTCAAATACTCGGTCACTACTAGTTTGTATGCAAGGTGTGATATTTCAGATTCCATTCCGACAAATTTTGACCGAATGTGTCACAATAACAGTAGCCCTAACCCTTATTTGCTATAAATTGAAATGCGTGATGACACCCAGGTAAAATATTTTGTAAATTAATATTCCATGCATACAAAACTAAGATATTACGACCGTTCGCGAAATACAAAGCCAAAAAAAGGGTTTCACCGATTCCTTAACTTTACACTATAATTTCAAAATACAAATCGATTACTAGGTTTAGGATATTCAGGCACTTCTTGGCGGAAGGAATTCAAGAATGGTTTCTCCCATAACTTTTACCCTAGGGGTATTTCCTCGATCCAAAGGTGTATTTATATTCAGGAGTTTAACCTGCAGTCCGTGAGGGGTTATATTTTTCCTGGAATCGCATTCTACTTTCCCAGGTTTGAAATGAGTTTAAGCAGATAATGCAAAGTACTTTATTGGAAGCGCAATTTTAAAACTGCTGCATCGAAGTATTCTATACTTGAGTCTTAAATAAATAAACGTTAAATAATCTATAACGTGGCCAACCATTAATGTACCGATGTTTCTTCATTTTCATTTTCGAATATTTCAGTTGTTTTTTCGAATCCTCCCTTGATACATACTACTCCGAAGTAGTACATTTTTGGATGGATAACGTTGAGCTCTTTCGAATTAGGTCGACGAAATATATTTTGTATCTGTTGCCGTCGTCTTCGTCGTTTAGTTTTGATGTCTCCAATTGGTTGAAAATTGGCGAATCTGACTTCATTTCTGTGACATTCGAACCCACTTCAACTGGTAAAACAATCTTCACCAGAATTCACAACACTGTATCAACATAACTACAGTACTCATTGTATTTAGCTCACCGGGCAAGTTGTTCATGTTCTTCATGTATCTGACTGTCTTTACGCAGTACTCATGACTTGCTTCGATACGTACTGAATACCACCCATGACATCTTGTCGAATCCCGGATCATTCATCATGTTTTCCGACGTCGTGTGTCCACCGTGGTGCTCTCGATGGCATTTTGCTCGTTCCTGGTGGATAGCGCCTCCCAACACGACCCAACACAACACGAACCTTCTATGCATGTTATTTTACCGCTGCAATCAACATGACAAGTTGTCAAAGTTCGTCGCCTTGATCACGGCGGCAACGTGGCCATCTCGCTGCTTATGATTTGGCAATCAGGCCGACTGTCAACCTGATTGTTGGACCAGATCTCGTAATCTCGTGCTTCACTGCACTGTATGTTGTGGTATGCTGCACAGTGCCCTTTTCATTCTTCAATTCACGGCAACCTGTCCACAATGCTTCTTTGGCTAGCCCTGCATGCCGCCGTGACGGCGGCGTACCTTTCCCCCACAGGCAACCGACCCGCACCATGGGGCACTGTGCTGGGCGTCACCAATGGCGTCAAGGTGTACTCGAACTACAAGGCGAAGGTCCACAACGGCGATAACTACTACCAGGGAACGTACACGGGCCTCAAGTGGCAGTGCGTGGAACTGGCCCGGCGGTACTTGCTCATCACCCACGGCGTTGTGTTTGAGTCTGTGGTCGACGCGGTCGAGATCTTTAACCTGCGCTCGGTGAAAAATGTCATCAACCAGGATCGCTTGCCGCTGAATGTGTACCCCCAAGGCTCGTCGACACCGCCTCAGGTTGGGTCGTTGCTCATATGGGATCGACAAGGCGTGAATTCCCCACACGGCCATGTCGCCGTCATCGTCAATGTCCAGAACACTTACATCGATATTGCGGAAGAGAACTTCGAGGACACGGTATGGCCGCCGTCGGCGAACTACTCACGCCGCATTTCTGTCTCGCGTACCCCCGCAGCGTTCAACGTCAAGCCGTACTACAACCAGTACAAGGCATCCGAGAATGTCCTTGGATGGGTAACCTTTAGCCCCTAGCACAACTTTTGATAGGATGGCCTCAGCCTCAATGCCCCGCACTTCCACATAATTTCGCACATAAGGAATAACCTTCTGTCTGACGATCTTGAAGGGTCACGGAGATACTCCGCAGAATGTTGGCATATATTAATAGGCTTAGGGTAATGGTATATCCTCTAATATTTGATATGTGTATACTCCTAGGTACAGTACTAGTACTATTAACAGTAGTACTGCACGTATTAATAGTACTACAATTGCTATTGTGCTTTTCACATATTTTGCCCGTTGTTTTAGCTCCTAAAACCATCCAAAGTTTAACCTAAACCGAAGTTGTACACGACGTAAAAGTAAGCTTCCCCACCGTTCTGTCATTGGCTGATCTAAAACTTGCGTTGTTTTACTAAAACTACTTCGTTTTATTAACTCCCGTGGCCAAGCAGTCATGCAGAGTAATGACCTACTGGGGTAAGCTCGCAGTGCACCAGCTCACACGAGCTTTGCAGCCAGCTTGTTAGCAACTCGTTGGCACGAAAAGTCGAGCAAGAAGCACTCAACATCAACCTTTATCGAGCATAGTCAAGAATCACACTCGCGTGTATTAGTTAATCCACTCTGTAAACCCCCGCGTTTGCCGAAATGAAATGGGCAAACGCTTCAGGTTAGCAACATATGCTGCAGGAACAGCCCTTGCTCATCCAATCATAGGTACTTCCGATTAGCTAAAACTAAGTTGAATTAATCTAAAACTTCGTCACCCACTGGTTAAAAGCGGGTATTTATACCCAGATTAGCCAAAATATGTGAAGAGCACAATACCAGTACAGGTAATAATACTATTAATTCATCATCAGACAAGTTGCTACGTACTGTAGTACTAACGTTAGTACAATATAATACTACTATTAATAGTATCTGATTGGCTGAATCGGATTGAATATGCTCGGACCAATGAAATCCGTGGACTCATTGGTTCGGGGTCATTCATTGCAAGAAAAGTTGCCATGGGATACGCGAAGCGCGGCGCCGATCGCCGACCAGAACCGGCTGCGAAGAAGGCCAAGACATCGGCATACCCCGGTGCACCACCACACATCCCGCGCCATGCGTCGACGCATGTGCCTGCGATCGCAGAACCTGTCGGCCCCATTAACAGGACGTATGACGACTTGATCCAGATGACGACGGCACACCCGCTGTTTGCCTCCAAGTTTGCGCCAAACCCGAAGTGGGTGTCCACGCTCACCATGAAGCCGAGTTCCAAGGCAAAGTACAAGAAGATTGTAGCGATCGATTGCGAAATGTGCGTGACGATCAATGAGACGACCAAACAGCGCAACTCGAAAGCGTTGGCGCGCGTCACCGTGATCGACGGCGAGAACCTGGACAGCATCCTCGTGGACCTGATTGTCCACCAGCCTCCGCCAGGACACGTCGTGTTCAGCTACAAGACCCACATCCATGGCATCAAGGAAGTCACGATCACGGCGTCGACTATCTCGGAGGAGCGCGCGCGAAAGGAAGTGCTCAAACACGTCGGCCCCGACACCATCGTGGTCGGCCATAGCGTGTACGGGGACTTGGCGAGTCTGGGCATTCATCACAACCGTGTGATCGACACGTCGTTCTTGTACACGCGCAAAAACGTGCACGAAAAGTACAAGATGCCAGGGCTCCGCGACTTGACCAAGCAGTTGCTGGCCATTGAAATGCCTGCGGTGCACGACAGTTACCTCGATGCCAAGACCACCATGATGGCTGCCACGTACACACTGACTCACCCATGCGGAGAGATTCTGTACTACGACGGACCGCGGACGGACGCCGTCGCCGAAGCGGCTGTCCCAGCGATTCCAGTGGTCAAAACCACGAGTCAGCCCATCGTCAAGCCAGAAACGGAAGATTCTGACGAAGCCAGCACGCACTGGCTCGTGCACAAGATCCCCAAGGGACTGTACAACTCGGACCTGGAACAGTTTGCCATCTCACACACCGCCGTGGTGCCGACGATGGTAGAGAACATTGTGTTCAAAGACATGTGGGGCTCGTGCTCGGTGCACTTTCGATCGTCCGGACATGCCAAACTCGCGTTTCGCACCCTCGTGGGCAAAGAGTCGGAGGATCCGCTGCAGCGCCCCGTGAAAACCATGAACATCCACGACGCCAAGGGCAAAAAGTTCTCCAACATCAAGATCGTCCAAGTGACCCAACGTGTGGGCAAGTCAAAGAAGTAACGAATCATTGCATCTATCTCCTCCAGGTCGTCGCCATTTCTTGGAGGGTGGTCGTAATCAGTAACGTTATGTTAGCTAGTATTGCCGATAGCCACATCATTTAAAGCGCGAAATGTGTAGCTAACGTTACTGTGTTGAGTATGTACTGAGAGGGAATCCATCCCTACAACAGGCGTAAAGCTGGAGCCCCATACATCAAGAACTTATAAGAGATTTGACCATTCACTGTTACGATGAAGTGGACGAAAATCGACCATGAATGGTCGACGGCGCACCCGACAGAAACGAAGTCGTGGGGCTGAATTTGTACCTCCGCTCGACACTCGACTGCAAGTGGCCGTCGCAGAGAAGTCCAGTTGGGCTCGTACTCCCGTCACTTGAAGCAGCACCAGGCGATCGTGGGGAATGCACGGGGACTGAATGATGCTGGGGCACCTGGTCGTGATAGCCCCACGGCGTCGTGCCCTCGTCGTCAGTAGGGTAGAACTCGTCGAAGTCTTGAAGGGGGTCGTACGGAAGCTTGGTCAAACTTGTTTTGTCCGCTGCCCACCAGCCCTTGAGGTAGAGAGGCACGCACCATATTGCACACATGAGCCCCACAAACACTAACACGACGACAGTCCACACGACGTTGGCGCTCACTTGACGCCCACACCCTTGCCACATGGAAAACTTACACCCACCACTTGTCATGCTCGTGAGCGTCGTCGTTATGTTCGGTTGGCTGAAAGGTGATGTTGTCCCATTGCTGCTATTAGTAGCTACGGGAACAGCCGTAGTACTAGTCACAGCAGCAAAAGTGCATGCATTGGCAAGGGCGATGCGATCCCCGTAGCTAAACATCCCTGCACCTACCAGCGCCCAGACCCCGTTGCCGAGATGAATGGCAATCACATCCAACGCATCGTCGAGTCGGCCCAGTCGGGTCCATGTCGACACGGTGACAAACACGAATCCTGCCACGGCCCCAATGATGATGGCGGCGTGGGAAGCCACGGAGGACGCCGCAGCAGACATGGCCACGAGACCGCTGAGAAGGCCATGGTTCATTGGGTGCTTGGTCGGGACGTACAGCGACAGCACAGAGCTGACGACGCAACTGGCGGCAGAACTCAGTGCCAAGTTGACGCAAGACGCCACTACGACGTCGGGGCAAAGGCCGCGCAGCGTCGGCGACGACAAGTGAATCAAGCCGAAATGGGCAACGAATACGAAGAACGATCCGATAGAGTGGTATAGCGATGTCGTTTCGGGGGACGCCTCGGCGAAGGGAGGGGAGCTTGTGGGGGGTGGACGACGAGAGAGGTCTGCCAAGTAATTGTCGGTAGGCGGCAGAGTAGAAGGAGGCTCTAATGGAGGTGTGGCGGGCGTAGAATCTTTGCTCCTAGAGAAGCAAGATGCAATCAGCACCGCCATGCCAGCACAGACATGCAACGCGCTCGCCCCTGCGTAGTCCACGACGGCGGTGCCATACAGTGCCGACGGATGCGGATTGGAGCTACTGACGGGGCCATGGGACGACCACAAGGCGTGGACGAGGACTGGGAACACGAACGTGTTGAGGAGAAGGATGTACAAGAAGAGCGGGCCGCGACTAACTCGGTCGGCTAACGCATGGTAAACCACAGACGTCATGGTCACAGCTCCGGTCGAGTGGAGAACCCAGAATGCCCACGTGGGAGATGCTAACGGTATGCCAAGAAGGAAAAAGCCATCGTGTCCCAGAAACGTCCCAGTGCCAAACGACAGCGCAAATGTAAACGAGTACGACAACAACACGACCACCGCGACGAGGCCAAAGCTTTTGGAGTCGGGTAATGACACAGCAGGGGCGAGGAACGCTAGACCGACTTGGAACAGCAAGATCTGCATGGAGCATGTGAGGATCCAAAGGACATCCACGGTGTCTTGCAGTGCATATATGTTCAAGGTCGACGAATTTCCCGCGTCAATGTGGTCGGCGTGCATTGCCAATGCGAAGTCGCTCCACGAGTATTCCAACACACTGCCATCCACGGTGAGACGTATTGTCGCGTGTGAGAGGTCCATCATAACGACCGCAGCTGCGATGTGATTCAAAAGGCAGAGTGGATCACTATGATGGATAGAAGCACAGAAGAACACAGCGTGGACTAATTCGAACAATGGAACGTTAGCAATGTGGCTGCAGGTTCTAAGGTGATGTGCAGCACGAGTTCAAGGCATACATCCCGTCCTAGTTAGGGTCCCATCTTGACAATGACGACTGTAGTGTGGGATTCGAGGGGCGGGCTGGGTCACCAAGGGGTGCTAGTTACAGTACTTCATGTGAGGTGGGGATATATCAATCAACAACAGAACTTTTGTCGATCATTAGTATATTACATTCAAATGAACTATTTTGACCCAACTCAGATATAAGATTTTTATGATTGGGTTGCCAATTCCGGAAGCAAATCCCCCAAAGATACATTTACGGCCGCGGCGCGAGTGCCACCGACCTCGCATCAGATCGCATCGTTGTATTTCTCGTATCGACCAGCGGTCATTGACGAAAGTAGGATGAATGCTGACGATATTCAGTGGATCCGGGCGCCTTTTTCGTCCTTGAGGGAAGAGAGTGTCCTCTTGGAGCGCTACGCGTCGCTGCAGGTGTCTTCTTCCCCGGCCTCTGTTGCATTGACCTTGTCCAACAACATTTCGACCACGTCCACCAGCACGTGTGTGAATGGAGTTACCATGTCACTGGAGGAACTAAACCAAGACGCAGACGTCGCTCGTCTGCAACTCTTTGCCAGGCACCCTCATACCACCACCGGTACCTCGGACGACGCCGCCAAAGACCCATCGACCACCAAACCAGCCAAGAAACGACCAAAGGCTACCACCACATCAGGTGTGAACGTGATGTCCCTTGTCTTGAAGGAACCATCCCTCCAAGGACAATCGCCTGAAGCTGCCATCAGTACGCAGCGACAGGCCAAGAAAGGGGCGTTGATCGAACGCATGTTTCAAGCCATCGATACATGCACCCCCGCACTTGGTCACCGCCCGCTGTCATCATGTCCATCGTCCAGTTTATCGCTTCACGAAGCATCCCACACAACAACGTTCGCGCCACCTCGGGTGCTAGCGCCGTCATCACCGTCTGAGCGCCATTCGTTTGCCCAAAAGTTGTTCTCGGTGGCGTCGTGTCGCATGCAGCTGACGCTGCTCAAAGCCATGCCGGTTGACGTCCGACGCGCGTGTGTTGTGGACTTGGTCGCGTCGATCCTAGACTTTCCCGCCCTGGCGCTGTCGGGCACTTCCACGCAAACCGCCGAAGACGCGACGTTGCAGGCCATGTACTCGTTTGCCCAGGACATCATGACCACGGACGGCCCCGACGCCATGGCTGACGGCATGCTCCTCGTGCTGGCGCTCGGCGTGGCGACAGGCCAAGCGCACTTTTTACTGCACGTCGCGTCGAGATTGCTAAGTACCGACAACGGGTTGAACCTGTGGGCAGAGTCCACGTGCACAGTGCAGTACGATCGCCTTTTTCACCGCTTTCAAATGTCTGAGCCGGAAACCTCCCTCGGCGTATTGGCCGCGTCGTCGCTTGTCCATCAACTTCGGATCCAACCGGCCACCACCACCGACGACAGCACGTCCAACGTGTCGATTACCACCGACGGCGCCTACCTCTACACGTGGAGCACCGCCACCGGATTGAAGAAAATCGGCATGGGCACCGGCGGGTCCGTCCTTGGCCGCGTCTACGCCAACGTGCCTGCGGCGTCGTATCTACCCTACTTTGGACCCACTCGCCCGGTCGTCCGCGCGGTCTGCGGGGCCGTCGAGGTGGTCAGCCTCTCACCCACGCTCCTCGAAACAGCTCCGACTGTGCACGATGCGTTTGGGGACGGACAGCTCCTGGTTGTGTTCAAGGCCATCGGCAACACCAACGTCATTCAAGATGTACTCTTCGACGCCCTGGAACGGATTTCGCTGCCCGCGACCGCCGTCGTCGTCCTCGCCGCGTTCGGAACCCTCGTGGACGTCACGCCTGCCATTCAACACCTCTCTGGACACAACCATCGCGGCGTGTTTTCCGACTCCATGTCGCCCCTTGCCAACGCGCAACTGCTGGTCGTCCACTCGCCACTGCCAGGTGAACACAACATTCGATCCCACTTGGTGCAAAAAGGTGACGTTGTTTTCAAGCCGATGCCCCCCGTCAAGTCGACGAGCGTCGTGTGCGTCGGAAAGTGGCTGTACTTGAACGTGACCTGTTCAGAAACTACCCCAGCAACGTTGGAGTTTGTTCGGATAGGAACGACCGACTTGCGGGTCCAAAGCGTGGTCGACGTTCTAGAGCAACGCAGCAACGGCGTCCGGCTCCAATGGATCACCGAGGGCGATTTTCTGTACGACGTTCGATTCCGAGTCGAAAGCAACATCATGGACGTGCATGTGTACGACCTTCCAGTGTTATCCTCGGCCAAACCAACGTTGTCGTGGGTACGGTCGGTGGCGATTCCGCTCACGTCGTCACAGTTGACAGGGTCGCTCAAAACCATCGGCGACGAGGCCCGTCCATGTTATACCAATGGCCGGAGTTTGGCTGTTGTGACACGTGTCGATGGCGCCCCTTCAGCATCGCCACTTTGCTTTCAGTTGGACCTGCAGCGCGACGGGGAAAGAACAGCAACCGCCGCCGAGGCTCTGACTAGTCTTGCGACTGCTGCCGTTTGCTTTGATGCGGCCACGAATATGCTGTGGAGTGTGACAAGTGCACGAGATACGGTCGAGGGCTATCGTACTACGAATGCGTCGCCTCTTGTTTACATCCGCGACAAGGTCGATCACAAGGGGGCAGTGGTGTCGCCCGTCGAGGCGTGGAATCTGATTCACCAAGCAAACCCGCCGTCGAGTGGTAGCCATCGATGGCTCGTGGGGATTTTCGCCAAACTCCACGAGTGGGCGGGTTGTGACCTCAAACAAGACAGTGTTGTCCGGGATGAACTGTCTCTGGCAGTGGACATCTGCGACGAAACATTTCACGTGCTTTTGCACTGCATCACCACATACGCCGATCGGTTTTGCCGCGGACATGTGTTGCATGGATGGGAAGAGTACGTGCTCATGTCGTCGTTAGTGGTGCTGACTGCAAATGTCCGCCGAGTTTCGGTCAACGAGCATGCACACCTCGTACACGTTGTTGTGACCAGCCGGCTGGCGCCGACGTTGTCGAGCCTGGTGCGGTACCCGGACTTGGACCATCCGATCGTTCAAGCGGCGCTGCACTTGTACAAGGCGTCGCTCGACATTTTTTACCAGGGCCCAGTCGACCAACTGGCCCTCGTCGCGACCTATTTGGAGCACCGATCGGCTCATACACTGCACGCCAGCGAATTGCCCATATTAAAGCTTGTGCTACAGCGCCTCACCAGTGTCGAAACCCTTCACGAGCTCGTGGCCCATCCCACGGCGTTCGAGTACTTGGACGTGCTGCTGTCGCACTCGGTCAAGTGGCACCTCGTGAACGACGCCGCCGACGACGACGACGTAGCGAGGGAACTCGTCGCCGTGGTATACGCGATGACACAAGCGTTGCTGTGGGGGTATCACCGGCAGCGTATTCCAGAGCTCGGAGCGTGGGCCCGCTTTGAAGCCATCGTGCAAGCAGCTATCCAGCTTGTCCAAGCTACACCAGCCAATCGCATCGACCGGCTAGAGCATACTCTTGTGGGTCAAGTGTGTCCGCTGCTGTTTACTGCGATGCAGCATTTTCCGTGGACGCCCGCAAAGACCACGTACGAACGCATGTGTGACCTGCTGGGGCAATTGGTCGAGCTCGTGGGACCGTTGAACAAACAGACAAGCAAGTGCCACGACGACCAGAATGAAACGGTGGTGGACACGACGACTACGGTCGTCCAGACCGTAGAGTCGGCCCACGACTACGCCAACAACATGCACCTACTCACGGAACTGACGATCCCGGGCGCATCGACATTAACCATTACGTTTGACAGGCGAAGCCGCACTGAAGCCGCGTACGACTATGTCACGTTTTACAAGGACGAGTCGCAAACCGACTTTTACGGCGACGAAAAATACTCTGGACGGGGGGACGACGACGACCACAACTGGCCGGGGGTGGGCTCCCGGCCGCCGCTCGTGATCGAAGCCGAGTCGTGTCATGTGCTGTTCCACACGGACGGCTCTGGCGTCGACTGGGGGTACAAGTTCACGGCGGTGGGGCTCGTGGTGTCGCATGTCACGTGCCTATCGTTGCCGTGGCTCGCGCATGTCGAGGAGACGTTGATGGTTCTGCTGACGTCGATGGCGACGACGTTGGTCCGCGGCAAAGCGTTCACGCCGCTTTCAACGGCGGAAACCAACCAGAGAGTGCTCTTGAACAGTCGACTGCTGCAAGGCGGCAAGCAGCAAACGGCGGATCACGTCGTGGGGTTCCTCAAAGACCTGGTGGACCACCCTCTCGACGACGAGTCGACTACCGCTGCCGCGACCGTTGTCAAGACATTGAAGAAACAAACGGTGCAAGATCAAGGCTCGATCGCCCACGTGAACCGCGCGGTGCGGGCGGTGGCGGCGGCCATTCTGCACCACAACTTGTGGGGCATGGACGTATATGAGATGAGCCAAGCCTCCGGACCCGCGGGGGCGACGATAGTACCCCATGTGTTGCAGGCGTGGAAAACGGCGCAAAAGATGCGCCAGTGGTTTGACATTGGGGACGCCGCGGACGCGACCGTGCACCGCGTGTCGGCGGCGGGACGCCCCACGGGGCTCAAGCGGCAGCCGTCTGCGTACAAGGGGCAGTCGGAGGAAGCAATGGTACAGTTGTGTCAGGTGGTCGTAGAGCGCGCGCTGTTTTTGCTCGAGTTTACGCCGGCGTCGTTTTCGTTTGTACGCGCCGCTAAACTGCGATGGAACTTGCTTGCAAAGTACTCGACCGCCATCCACCGGAAAAACTCGTGGATGCATTTGGTCACAGAATTGAATGCTGCCACGGAACTCAAGTCCATGCTCGACTACCGCCGCACGTCCATGGAGCGGCTGCACATGCCCAAGACGGTCACGGAGTTGGTGCTCGAGTTTGTCCAGTCGGACGTGGACGTCGGCGAGATGCAAGCCATGCTCGAGACCCGCAATGACCGCGCGGGTAGCCGTGTCGTGGGCATGGCGACGATCGCCCGCGCACTCAGCGCGTCGTCCAGCGGTCGGCTCCAACATGTCCTTCTGGAAGGATTGGCTTGTACGATGCGCGCGATCGGGCTCGAGGATTGCTGCGCCACGAGTTTGCATTTTTTCAACTCGCTTAACGGGTGCGCCGAAGAGAAACGCAAAGCCCTGAGCGAAGCCGTCGCGCACTGTTTGAAGGCGAGTGCTGACATCCTGGCCACGAGGTCATCGTCCAAATGTCTGGCAGCTGAAGGCGACTCGGGCGCGCTCGTGTCGAGTGCATTGAAGGCCATGGCCATGGACTACGACGTCCGCGACTCGTACTTGTTGTACGACAGCAAAGTACTGCCGCACATTCTGCGCCTCTTGCCGTCGGACAACGTCCGCGTCCGCCGCGTGGCGCAGGCGATCATTCGCGTGTTGATGTCTCACTTTGTGGCGATCCCAGACCAATCGTTTTATTCCACCGACATGGGACTGCCGACGTTGTCTGCGTTTCAGAAACAGTTGCTCGCTGCCGTGCGCCTCCAGCTGGAAGGAATCGTGGGGACCGTCCAGCACCAAGTCGACAGTCCATACACCGCGCTGTGCTTGACGCGCAACCACGCGGGGTACTGCACGCCGTTTGTGGCCGTGCTTCCGAACCACTCGATATCATTCTGGCTGTTTGTGGAGGAACAAGCGTGTCAGTATGCGCTAAAGGTGGGCGACGAGGTGCGCCGAGGACCTCATTGGATCAGTTCACAAGACGAAGATGGCGGTGACGCTGGCGTCGGCACCATTGTATCCATCCAAACCCCCACCACCGTGCAGGTACACACACTACTTCCTAGTCGATTGACCGGATAGCCAGTGCAAGCTGTGTTGTACTGCGAACATATATGCTTGCTTTGGTCGTAGTGTGTACTCTCTATGCGCATGTGAGACGTCGTGTCGAGTTGTGTACATGGGATGTTGTCTATATACCTTCCAATTCGACCTTTCTCTGCACGATGTTGGCTATTGTGGAGTCCGCTACCGAACAAGTACACAATACCAATCGACTCTTTGTACAGATTTCATCGAAGTGTGTCGCTGTGTTGTTCTCCGTATGCGTACTTTGGATCCTTCATATTTGTCTTTGTATCATCTGTGTTGTATTGTGTATACATGTGAGACTATAGAGCTTACGATGATCGATTGTAGGTGAAATGGCAGACGACGAGCACGACGTCCGTGTACACGTGGGACCCGAGTGTGCCGTTGTACGAAGTGCAATTGGTAGACGAAGGTGTGGGTGGGATGGTGTTTCTGCACGGGAACCGCAACTTGGTGTCGGACACGGAAGAGATGGCGGCATGGAGCCACTACGGGATGTTCCTCACGGACGAGGGGCAAATCAAGTACATCGTGAGTTCTGGAGCACCGGACAAGGACTCGATCTTCGAAAGCACCGATTCTGTCCACTGGAATGCATGGAACCACGTGTGTCTGGTCAAGGAGGACGCGCACTTGAGACTATATCTCAACGGCGCGTTGGATTCGCAGCACGTTTTGGACGACCACGTCTCATCAACCGCCGCGCACGAGGTGCTGATTCAATCGGTCCATCCGTGCTTTGGCCATGGGGATGGCAACAGGTGGCCCGTCTCTTTTCCCGGCGCGAGTCGACTGGTCGTGACGTTTGATCCACTCACCCAACTGGACAAGTCGAACGGTGACTTTATTTGCTTCTTTGCGTCTGCAGACGAAGCCGAAGTGTGGGGGCAGCCCATGTACTCGCACTCGTTTCCGGGTGTCGACCAGGAATGGTATGTACGCGTCGCGTTGTTCGTTGTCGTGAACCTTCTTTCTTATCACTTCTGAGCACTTGGTGCTATTGTTTGTGATTTCGTGCGATGATGTATTCACGAGCTTGTACAAGCCAAGCGGTTGATTGCGATTTGTATTCCTTTATATATACTTTCTTGGCCATGGGATGATGTCTTCGATCGGACAATTCGTCATTGGACATACATATGAGATGTTGTTTTTGGCTTGCAACCCTCCGTTTTCGTGCTCTACACCATGGAAAGATGATGGTGGTCTGTCCTAGTTCGCTCGTGATTCCATCCGACTCGACCGTCGTGTACTTTCACTCGTCGTCTCAAACAGTCAAATGGGTACGTTTATGCCCTTATTCATACCGACGCACGAGATGTTCATCAATTGTTTTTCGAATCTGACGGTTTGTAGGGCTTCCGTCTCCTGGTGGCGGCCGAATACGACGATGACCGGCAATTCCACGATGTACTCAACACGTTTCCATTTTACTTTGGAGAGCCGCCGTCTCGGGTGCTGGACGCGCCGTCGGCTCGCTGTTGGGTATCGCATTTTAGTGTTCTGAACGCGCCGCTGCAGGCCCATGACGTGGCACTCCGCATGCGCCTCGACAGCCAAGAGTGCACGCCGTACGCGTTCCCTGTGGACCGGACGTTACAGACGCTCGGGTTGATTCAAACGTGCGCGGAAACCCAGTTTGGGCGAAGTTTTATCACGAATTCCGTGCTCATTCGCCATCTCATGGTCGTGGCGTTCATGGGGGCGGCGGAAACCCAATGCGGTGCGCTGTACGTGCTCGTGGAGCTGGCGCCGACGCTGTCGACTGCGTTGGTGGACGATGCGTTTGGCCGGGCGTTCCCAACGTCGTCGTCGGGTTCGTTCTTGGACTCGGTGTGGGAAAACCTCGGCGCGATCTTGAACGTGTGGCCGTCGACGGACGCCCTCCATCCGTCCATACAGTGTCATGTGACGGTGGAAACGCAGCCAGCAGCGTTGAGCGCTATGAGTTTGGTGCAGGCATACCTGTCGCTTGTTCGAGCGCTGGCGAGGTCGTCCCGTGACTGGCTGGACCGCGTCCACGCGCTGTTGCTGTCGTCTATGGAGCACACCGACTCGCCCCACGAGTTGAGCTTGGTCCTGGCCAGTGTCGCCGTCTTGGGGGGAACGTACGACGGCGTGGGCATTGGCAGTCGCGTGCGTTGCTGCGTCAACATTGACGGCAAGGAAAGCGTCGAAGTGGGTTCGGTGATCCAGTTCCGACTCAAGGGCGAGGCGCGGATGGCGTGTGTCTTGTTTGACTGCGACAACAGTCGGCCCGTGGACGTTCCAATCAGCGACGTCACAGTCGACGACGACAACGACGAAGAAGCCGACGGCATGTCGGCGGTAAACACGCAGCATTTGTGGGACAACGACGACACGACCAAGGCGCTGCTGGGTCGGCTCGAACGATTACTGCAGAAATGGCAACGTATCGACGCCGCGTCTGATAAGTCTGTCGACCCCCGGCGGTACAAACCCCGCACAAAGTCACACGACAAGGTCCAAGTGCTCGAGAGCGACCATCCGTACGCCAACGACACGCACAAAACGGTCACATTGGACTTTCCAGGGGCGGATGCGATCTTAATTGTGTTTGACCCGATGACGTCGACTGAACCGGACTGCGACTTTGTCCGGTTTGTCAAACGGGAGGTCGGCGACGAGAGGAGTGGAGCCACGTACGGCGACGACAAGTACAGCGGCGTACACTTCCCAGGCGTGGGGGCCGTCCCGCCCCTTCGCATCCCTGCGTCCAGTGTCGACGTCGTGTTTCACACAGACAGCACTACGACGGACTGGGGCTACCGCTTGCACGCCACGGCCACAACAGAGTCTCTAGTGCTGCCGCCCGAAACCCCGCCGTCGCCTTCCAAGGGGGCGTGGGGGGATCTCCGGGCGCGCATATTCAAGGTTCTATCCCGGCATGCGCACGTGCTGGCGCCGTCGTGGACTCGGACGCTGATGGGTGAGATGGCGCGCACCGCGGTCATGCCGTACACGGGGCGGCCGCTCACGTCCATGCCCAAGTCACAAGTGTTCGAGTCGAAACATCCGTACGCGAACTCGATCTCCGAGTACATGGCCGTGACGTTCAAGGGTGCGAATCTGCTGAGCATTTCGTTTGACCCGCTGTCCCGCACCGAGCACGGGTGTGACTACGTCGTGTTCTTCAAGGACAAGAGCTTGGGCGACCGGTGGGGCGATCATCAGTACACTGGTCGGGCGGGGTCGGAGAACTGGCCTGGCGTGGGCGGCCGGCCACCGTTGCTGATCCCCGCGGAGGGGTTTACACTGTTGTGGTGCACGGACAGCTCCAACGTGGACTGGGGATGGAAGTTTATTGTGAAAGCTACGTTTCCCAGCTTGTCGCCGCTCGAGCTGACGTCGGAGCAGTTGAACCAACGCGCGTACCACGTGACGGAGATGCTGTACGAACAAACGCAGTACCAAGCGATGCCCCGATCGACGGATTTCGATGGGTTTGAGGAAGACAAAGGGGCGGAGGCGAAGTCGCCGTTTCTACTACTTCCCCCATCGCCCCCGCCTGCCTTCCCCTCCAAGTCGTCTAAGTGGCACCGCATCCAATCGTTTGACAACGTGGGGCTGTACGAAAGACCACACGACAAAGCTGCGGTCGTGGATGTGCTGACACACAACATACATGTCAAGATTCTGAACGACAGCGTCATGGATTGGGTTCACGTGGAAACCAAAGGGGGCGATGTGGGGTGGATTCGGAAGCGCAAAGGAGACGTGTGGGTCATCCAACCCCTGGACCCAACCGACCTCGCGGTGCTGATTGACGAAGACACGGTTCTCGTCGGAATCGACGACGAAACTTTTGACCACCAGCCTCCAGTTGTGGACGACACGAACGAAGAGCAAGATGAATTGGCCAACTTTGCGTCGCACTTCACACTGGAAGAGCTCAAAGGGCACGCGCACCGGCTACATTCGATGGCCGTCGAGACGTACTACGCGACAGCCATCCACAGCGCCCGACGTAGTCTCATGACGGTGTTCTCTACGCTCACGCCGTGTCCGTTGACGTCTCTGTCCACGTCCCCAACACTTCTCTTGGAGCTGCTCGTAATGTTCCTCACGCAGCGGTCGCTCATGTTTCCACACTTGGTCAAGGCCAAGCTGCAACTGCAGTTATTTCAGTGGCTGGACTCAAGCCCTGCCTTGCTGTCCGCCGTTGTGTCGTACAGTACGTCGATTCTCAACCACACGATCCAGACATTGCAGTCGCATCGGCGCGCCATGGTTCGTACCCTTGAAAGTCCGCATCCGTACACTGACAACGCCGACACCTACTGGCGCGTGGACATGCCAGGGGCAAAGTGCATCAAAATCGTGTTTGATTCGCGCAGCAAGACTGAGGCAGGGTGCGACTGGCTGTGTTTTTACGCAGCTACGGACCGCCACGTCACGTACGGCGAGGCGCAGTACAGCGGTCGCGGGGGCAGCGAGAACTGGCCTGGGTTTGGCAACCGACCGCCGTTGATCATTGACAGCGACCGGTTCGAAGTGTACTTTCACTCGGATGGTAGCGGTACCGACTGGGGGTGGGCGTTCACTGCGTACGGTATCGTGTCCTCGGACAACCCATCGTGTCCTCCCAACTCCTCAGTTGTTGACATGGAGAAACCCATGGTTGCGTGTTGGCTACTCCACGCTCTCACGGCCACGCCCTTGAAATCGTCCAATGTCGAGGAAGCTGTGTTGAACAATGCGCTCGTTTTGCAAACGTGGATCGATTGCTTGACGGGAATGCCACGACAGGTTAAATTGCAAGTTCTGGCCATGATCACGAACGTTGCATTGGATCATTCGGTGTGGGCACGCATGACACCTTGCCATGTAAACTTGTGGTCCAACATTCGGACCCTTGTCAAGCAGCGCATGCGGTCACAACACAAATGCGAAGAGCGCCAAGAACTCAAGTCGATGTACCTGCAAGCCCTCATCCAATGCGCCATGGCGCTAGACGTGGCGGTGGAATCGTGTGGGTACCCCTCTACATCGACTTCGTTTGCCCGAGAGGTGGTTCAGAAACCGGCTGGGGACACCACGGCGGCGTACACAGTGGACACCACGTCCTTGTCAGTGTCATTTGCCAACACAACACTTGTTCATGCATGGACGTTCGAGGCAAAATCAATTGTGGGGACCGTGCTTGTTGGCATTCGAAGAAATGATGGATGGAACATCCAGTGGACGACCTCCGTAGCTAAAGATGCGCCTCCTCCACCCGACATGTACGTAGACACAAACCACGTCCTTGTCTTCAATCCACGCGATGTGATCCGCGTCGAAATCGACTTGGAGCGCCTCGTCCTTCTCCGCAACAACGCAAAGGTGCTTGACGAACGCATCCCTCCACCATCGACCAATTCCACCGCTGTCCTGCATCCCGTCGTGACCGTCTTCAACCCGTCAGATATCGTGATCGTGTCTGCCGCCCCCTCGCTTCGGATTCCAGTCGAGTTCCCCGACCCGGCTTGGTATGTCAAGGCCCTGGATAGCATGAGTGCGCTCTGGACAGAATGTGCTTCCTTTGACAGCCGGACTCGACATCGTCGACGTCCGCTCGTCGCGACCAGAGAAAGCAGCCACCCCCTCGCCGACGACTCGTGGGTCGACACGATTCAGATTCCAGATGCCGTCAAGTTGGAGATTCGCTTCGATCGACAGACGCAACTCGATGCCAAGGACACGATCGTGCTCAGTTCATCCTCAACGGAGCATCACCAATCCCACGTCTTGACGGGTTTGAATGGGAAAGCCAGTCCGAACCACGCCGCATTTGGTCCCCCAGACGTCACGAAAACGTCGCTTCGAGCAGGTGACGTGGTCGTTAGACACGACCGGGATTGGGTGTATGGCAATGAAGATGGTGGTCCAGGAGATCGAGGCACTGTGACTGAAATCGTGGGGTGGAAACATCGGTCTGGCGCCGGCGTCAAGGTGAAATGGACTTGCACCGGGCATGAAAACGTATATCGGTACGGGTACAATGGTTACTTCGACGTGGTGCTACTGTCGACCGCTGTCGCACCGCCGCCGTCGGTCTTGTGGATCGAGGGGGACACGGTGCAAGTATCAGTGACTCCTTTCCGACTGGCGCACGGCAAAGACGCGTCGGGGTTCAGAGGTAGCGTCGACTTTAACCGCCACATGTGCTTGGTACTTCCCAGAACGCCGGCACACCTGACATTGGGCGACGACTTTTCGATTCAGTTTTGGATCCGCCTTGCCGACTTCAAGGACGACAAGCGCCCGCAAACCATCTTCTTTGCCGGGCATCCTGCGTCATCCCCCGTCCTCGCGTGCCTCCACCTGTCCGTGGCGTCGGACTTTAAGCTGCGTCTGGCGTTTAAAACAGACGACTTTGTCGACAGTTTGGTGACAGAGCCCCTTGTGCCTGTGTCGCACACGTGGACGCACATCACAATCACGAGTAGCGGCTCTGACGTTGTCCTGTACAAGTTTGGCGAGAAGTGGGCGTCGCATACGTTTTACGGCCGATCCAGCTACACAACTCCGTTTCACACCATGCTGTGGGGGCACCATATACCTCCAAATGACACCGCCGGTCGCCCTGGTTTCAGACCGTTCGGCGGGCTGGCCGGCCAATTGTATGACATCCAGCTGTGGGACGCGCCGCTGTCGTCGACGGATATACGCCGGACGTTGTTCGCCAAGCAAACTTCGGGCGGCAACGACCTGTACCCGCCACCGCCCCCTTCGTCGCTTAACCCGTGGGCCACGATTAACAAGTCCGGGAAGGATTTCACGAGTGTCCGGTCGGACGTTTGCATTCGACGAGGACAGGCCTACTTCGAAGCGACGTTGTTGAGTGGGGGGACCGTTTTGGTCGGATGGGTGGAAGCCGGCAGTTGGTTGCGCCGCAAGACGGCGGGCATCGGAGATTGCGCGTCATCGTACGCCATTGATGTCAACCGGCAGTACATGTGGCATAACGGCCCGATTCCGTTCGCAGTGCCCACGGGTGTCCGTGGCAACGCAGGGGACGTCCTCGGCTGCTGGTTGGATGTCGATCGAGGGGTCATGTCGTTCACACTTAATGGCGTCACCATTGGCGACTCATTCACGGCTCCTAAGGCTGTCACCACGACTTCTCCGACGAGGACTACCTCCGCTTCACGACAAAGTGCCGTGCTGAAGATTGCTCCCCTCTTGTCCCCTCGGAATGGCCGCTCAGCCGCCTTGAACTCCACGCCTCGAAGCTTGAGTAGCTACGAAGTTAAAGTGGCGGAGCTCATGGGCATGGGATGCACGAGGCAAAGTGCCATTGAAGCCCTCGAACGAAACGACGAGAGCGTCCCTCGGGCTCTTGAGTGGTTGCTGCACCATGATCACCCAGAAGGCAAACCCTCCACCGACAGAGTGTCTGGCCCGGCCGTCGCGCTGGTCGACGACGCCACGCCAGTGCCAAACCAATGGCAGCACGGCCACGGGTTCCACGCAGCGGTGTCGTTGAGTCCGATGGGAGGTCAAGGTGTGGTATGGAACCTGGGCCAATCACCATTCGTCCATCCCCCCCAAGGACTGACGTCGCCATCAGTGTGGTCGCACCGAGTTGTTTCTACCACCACAGCCACCGATCAGCCTCAGCATGCCTTTCAAGTGTTTGACTGGGCTGAAGACGGATGGGAAACCATCAAAGTTCGCCACAATATACTCGACATGACGCCTCAGTTGTTGCACCAGTATGTTCTCGATGAAGGCGACGGGTTGCAAGTGCGCGATGCCAAGGGAGGTCCACCGGGGGAGTTGGTGTCGACGGAAACGTCGTCCTCATCGTCGTCACCACTTAAACCGTGGAAGGGATGGATCTACTCCCCGATTCACAACCAAGGAACCGTCCCGTGGGGCTTCAAGTTTACTGTATTTGGCCATTTTCATCGCAACAGTCTCCCGAAAACGCGATTCGTGCTGCGCGGCGGGTACAACCCCCTCGAGTCGCACCGCAAAGCCGCGCTGCAATTGGTGCAATACGTCAATAAAAAGGCTCGGCCAATGGACGTCGCCCACGTCGTTCGCGCCCCTTGGGCTGAGTTTGCCCTTCGCGACGAAGACTGGGTGCGGTGGCCGTTGTTGTGTGAACTTGCGTCCGGCGCGTCGATTCCGTCTCCCGACTCCCCACCTGCGAATGGTTTGGAATTGAACCAAGCCAAGTTGGCGCAATGTTTCAAGTGGCTCCAAGAGTTCAATCTTGCCATGCATTGCTTGTTACCTTTGGTGCACTTTGAAGCCGAGACAAGCGACACAACGACAACTATGTTGTTTGGGCAATTCAAGCTGTCGGCTATGGTCGGTGCATGCCGAGGCCTGATCTTCCAGGCGTTGAAAAAAGGCTTGTGGGACGACTGTCTCAAGCGGACGCAGCGGTCGGGTGTGTCGTTGGAGATGACGTTGAATCGACCAAAAGCGATGCGACACCGCGCCGCGGGCCTTGTTGACACGGAGGCGCGCACGACATTGTTTGGACAAGCGTTTCGACAGCTCAATTCGAGTGAGAACCACCATTTCCGCCGATCCGACAACGTGTACTATGTCAAGTTTCTCGGCGAGAACGCCGAAGATGCCGGGGGGCCATATCGCGAAACATTTGCCCAGTACGCGTCAGAATTGCATTCGGCGCAGATTCCCATGATGCTGCGCACGGCCAACGCCGCGCACAACGTCGGCGTCGGGCGCGAAAAGTGGGTGGTCAACCCCTCCGCGTTTGCGTCGGTGCGGCTCCGTCGTCGCATGTTTACGTTTCTGGGAAAAGTCATGGGGGCCAGTGTGCGAAGCAAGGACTTTTTAGCTCTGGATTTGGCGGGGTTGCTGTGGAAGTTGCTCGTGAACGACGGGGTGTCTGTGGACGATCTCGAAGGCGTCGACAAGATGCTCGTGCAGTCGATGAGTAAAATGCGCTCCATCGATCAAGTGGGGGTGACCGAAGACATGTTTGAAGACATCGTGCTGGAGACATTCACAACGTTGTCCACAGATAATCGGGTAGTGGAGATCAAGCCCCACGGCGCGTCCATTGCCGTCACATTTTCGACACGCGTCGAGTTTGCCGACTTGGTCGAACACTTTCGTCTGCACGAGTTTGACACGGTCGTGCGGTACGTCCAGGAAGGACTGGCCAAAGTGCTGCCGCTGAACTTGATGAGTTTGTTCACAGCGACCGAGTTCGAGTCGATGGTGTGCGGGTGTCCGGAAGTGGACGTCGACTTGTTAGCCCAGTGTACAGAGTACAGCTCTTGTGCTGCCACCGACATGCACATTGTGTGGTTCTGGAGTACTTTGCGCAAGTTTTCACACGAAGAACGCAGCGCGTTTCTCCGGTTTGTGTGGGGTCGGTCTCGTCTGCCGCACTCGGTGGCCGAGTTCCCGCAGTGGTTCAAGCTCCAATCGTTCAACAAAAGCCCGGCCGACACGTACCTCCCGGTGGCGCACACTTGCTTTTTCGCGCTCGAGCTGCCGTCGTACACAAGCGAAGAGCTGTTGATGAAAAAGCTGTTGTATGCGATATACAATTGTCAGGAAATCGATGCCGACGGCGACAGTGTCGCAGCGAATCAACTAGGGTGGGAGGAATAGACAAGCAACATAGTAAGTTCAGTGGATCCCTAAGTTACCCTGCAGGGTCAATATGAAGGGACTCATCGTGCAATCATGTTGAAAGGGTTGAACTCTAAACGACAAAGTCGATTTCAGTGGCGGAGTCAATGTATGCATTACATTTACGGTTAGAAACCTAATCCGCCTACAGTGACAATGCAATACATCGTTCGATTGTGCTCTTTGTGCTTGTCGCTAGGCCACTTGACAACGTGGGCCCCTAACCACAGAACAGCTAGTTAGATGTGACTACAAAATGGTCTCGTGATTGATTCGTACCGTCAATGGCAGTATCCCAATGGCACGAGACTGCTGAGTGAATGCCTGCGCCGTTCTTTTGCATGATTACGCAGCTTACTGTATGATACATCCATGTGGGGGTTAAGGTGTCATCCAAGCGAAGTGGAAGATCATTAGTCCTACCAATGTACTTGAGCGGCTTTCGCAGATCGCTGAGACCTTTCATAATCCCGTCGCATATCAAGTCCACCCAATGCGAGACTTCGTTTTCGTCGTAGCTTTGATCCTTGAGAAAGTGCTCTACAGACTATCGACGTGGTTAGCAATATCGCTCAGCGGGATTCCATCAACCTGCAGGATAATGCGGTCGACTTCTTCAGCGACGAATGCAAGCTACATATCGACGTTTCGTTGAATAGAGGATGCATACACAGCAGATTACTTCTTCCGACGATTGGAGGTCGTCCACCATGATGCTATTTTGCAGGCCCTGACAACGAGATTGCGCGACCTTTCGTCAAGATTTCGATTACTACGATTTCATTGGCTAATTTGATTAGAAGATCCAAGTCACTTCAAACATGTGAAGTAATTTCCTTGGTATAGCATTTACAACCACTGTATGTAATGTTAGCAGATCTCCAGGTATTACTTGGCAGAGCCACATGCACTTTATTCAACCAGGTGGTCGTAAACGTTGTGAAAGGCCCATCGCGCCGCAAGCGACGGAATAGTCGCATCGCAATAGTGAAGGAACGACTCGACGTCAGTGACAGAATAGTCATAGCCGTCCACGACCTTGATGATATCCACGTCGGCGACATGACTTACACTAAGCAAGAGGCGAAACTTCGAAGCATCCCAGGATGGAGGCGACGACGACGACGGTGTTGCTAGCAAGAAACGGAACGCCCGTGCCAATCCTCGTGAAAATGGCGCCAGACTCCCATGCAACGCCGACACGACGTCCGTCGGGTAAGTCGAAACGCACAAATGCAGCACAAAGGTCGCGACGGGAACGCGAGTGTCCTGTAGAGCAAAGATGTGGTACAGGCAGTCTTTGAACACTTCTGGTTGATCCACGACATTGTCCAGCCACATGGGCAGCGACGCAAATGCCGACTGTGTCCAGTAAGCATCCGCAAGGGACCCCGAGGAGGTCGTCGCATCGTCATGGATGTGTGTCCGAGGGGACAAGAGCGCATGCAAATGCTTGGTGCGTGGCGGTGGTACCCATTGTACGAACAAGACGCTGAGCAGAAAACGCCGCCAGTCGACGAGGTGTGACGCCGTGCAAAATGGCAGAGCCGCATGTGACACTCGGGCAAAGTTTATCCAGAACTCGGGAAATGACGGCATCTCGTCGGAGCACTTGGTCGCGCGGGTGCTAACGCCGCCTCCTGCATCGTCCTCCCGAACAAGAGCCGTGTCGCGCACGATGCGGCTGAATATGGACAACTCGACGAGTCCGTCAGTTTGCTCTGGTGCCGACGCGAGCGCTTTCGCGACGACGAGGACATGTCGAGGATGCAAGTAGTTTCTGTGGGCTGAAATGTCCACGCTGTGGCGAATCCACGGTGTCTCAAGGCCCTGCCTTCGAGGCCACGCCACGACCTTAGCCGTGGGTCCGATCGAAGGCTGCAGATGCGCCAAATCGCTCAGAACTTGTTGAATGAAGCTGTGGTCCTGCCGCATGTATTCGACCGTGACATTGCCGAGGGCCTGCCGCTCTGTCTCGTCAACCGTTTCCACACGACGAATAAGCTGGGTGACAAAGTCGATGGCCGCGAGCACTCGTTGAATGACCAGCGCGCGCTCGCTCCACATGATGCGCAGCCGTCTTGCACTGATGTTGTCACTATCGTCCGTCAGCTGAGGGGGCGATGGTGTACTGGTGACGCTATTCTGGTTGTCAGTAGTAGAAGGTTGAGTGGTGCTTGATGTAGTGTCAGAAAGGAACTGGGGCGCGACTGGAACGGGTGTTGCTGAGGTCTCGCCACGAGACGATGAGGGACGAGGTGCACATAATGAGGCGAGAGGCGCGAGAAGGGCGCCGAAGTGAGGATTGCTCGACATGCAATGCCCCAATGCATCCATCAACGGCCGCAACGGTGCTGGAATTGCCTTGGTGTTATCGCCCTGACCTATCGCAAGGGTCTCAACTTGATAAAAGTATAAGTCCAGTGCCGCGTCGCGAGCCTCAAAGGCCGTGATCTCAGTCGTGACGAGCTGTTCCAACCACCCTTCGATATGGGCAATGAACGTTGTGGGGGACAGCAGCGGTTGTCGAGCGAGCAAGAAGTCGTTGGCAGCTTTGCGCGACGTGTCCACCATATCGCCCAGTGTAACTTCGAGGGTGGACATCAACTTCTACCGCACAGTTCATGATGGGAGGGTAGGTGCTCTATATATGTACTTCATGAATGAGCAAATTAACAAACCTTGGCTTGCTCCTTTTGCGTCCGTGGGTTGGTCGTTCCAAGGGCACGCAACCGCTGGAACGTGCTATCGATATGGCGTTGTTGGGTGTGGCCACACAGGACGTTTAAGAAGGCTGTCCGCAGCCCTCGAAATTGCTCTGAAAGTTGCAGCAAACTATCGTACAAGTCGGTGAACAGTGCCTTGCGTTTCGCTTGAACAGTCGCGACGCCCTATTGCGATGAGTGCGTCTCAGTAGAACCGACATTGCCGTCCATCGTCGAGTTTGAACTGCACTATTTACCTGTAGAACCAACGTCTCATACAGCTTGGGACACAATTCCACCGGCAACAGACTGCGTTCACCAGCTAATTGCTGAGTGTACAAATATTCCGGACGCGGGAGACTTTGGCGTCGGGATTGCTTGGCTAATTGCAAGGTCTGGAGGAACCCGTTCATGTCCCGGACACGCGATGCGTGGAGCGACGTGTCGGCTGGCGTTGCTACAAGTTCCAGCAGCAGATGCAACGTTTCCAGCGTGGCGAACGGTGTCGATGTAGTCGGATCGACCTGCATTTGTACAACGGCGATGGCGTGAAGAAGTCATTTCAATGCAGACGTGTTTCGTACCGAGTACACACATCCAAATGGTTTCCAAAACGAGTTCAACGTCGTCTGCATAGCTTTCCACACTGTCAACTTGAGACGGAGCTCATCCTTCGCAGCAGCGTCATCCTCGACTGTGAGATCAGTTTCATCGGACGGGTCGACGAAAACGACCCAGTCGATGCTAGAGGCGGGGGGAGGTCGAGCGAGGAGGTCCTGTTCAGAAAGGGGGTTCTTGTCGTCCAAGACTGCATTGAGCTGTGCAACCCGAGCAACCGACTCTGCATCAGTCAAATCAACCATCCGACGCACCATGTCCACCTCGAAGGCCTTGGCTTCGTCTTTGGTTCTACCAAACCAAGGGGATATGTCACATGAGTTCAGACATCAGTCCCTCGACGCGATGCGAACCTGGGAAAGTTCAACAGAATGCACCCGACGAACAACGAGTCGGGGGGATGCATAAGCAAGAGCAATATTGCTTTGTTCACGATGTCGCTGATCACTCCCTCCGGGATAGCGTTGTCTTTCTTGGCTCGCAAGGCCACCACTTTGTTCCCCAACGATGCCAACTCGGTCTACATTAAAGCTGATGATTAACCAATCAAGGGCCCCAGGGTGAGTTGAACAACCTCGGGGGCAGTCAACTTTTCGCCGCCTTTGACCCGTTCGCCAAGCTTGACGCTCTTGTCCACGCAGCTGTCCACAGTCACCACGAGCAAGCCCGTGTCGTCTGCAATGGTCTTCGCCAACACACAGTTTGGATCCTTGGTGTACCAGCACAGCAAGAGCGGCCGTGGCGGCGCTAGTGGCTTCCACTTGGTGACCACAATTTCATCCATAGACTTGGTGTTGAGTTGGTGCAACGTAGTTTCGACGAGCGTGATATCGTCGGACGATGCTTCGGGAAGTCGACCAAGTTCTGGCGAATAGAAAACCCCGCTGCCATGCATGTAGTTGGACAACAGCATGTGCAGCTCGGTCCGACTGTGGCCCGCCGCCGTGTTGGCATTCTTCGGCGGCTTGGGTACCACTGTGCCATCGACAAACGACAGCTTCAACGCCCGGTATGTTTGCGGGGCCATGGGAGCTTTGGCTGTCGTCGTCCTAGCCAAACAATCCACCATCGTGACACTCTGCTGAAATCATTGTCCTTTTCGCGATTTTACGATTTGTTGTACTGTACCTGTGCGCAATCAGGATCCAAACCATGTCGATCAACATATGCACGACATCGCGGCACATTTGATAATGCCCTTCGTGTCGCTTCTGAATTGCCAACGCCGTACAATCTTTTGCGGCGCGGGCTTTGAGCTCTTGGTCCCGAAGGCGAGGGGTCGCCGTCGCAACAGTATGCAACGCCTGCAAACTGTTCTTGACCGCCGCTTCGATGGCCTCGGCAGCTTCTTTTCCTCGAGCGGCGAGCTGTGTTGCTTTGTCCGACTTGGCTTGGACATGGTCATGATGCTCCAGCCATAGCATGGCTAGAATTTCGCGTCGTGCCTTGCCCACGTGAAGCAAGCGCTTAAGGAGGAGCCCCTCTTCCGTCTTTCGATGGATCTAGCATATTCCCATGCCCCATCAAGTCTACCGCCTGACTCATGCGTGTACCTCAATGGTGTTGCGAGTTTGGTCGACGAGCATCTTGCGGCGTCGACTCGCGCGTTCTTTTTGCGCGTGCAAGTGCACCTTACGACGTTCCCGGAGCTCCTTCATCATTTGCACGTTGCTGGCGGGGCGGAAGTGGCACCCGTCGACCCTCGTTTCCAGCGTGACCAAGTGTTCCAGTCCCGTGCCTTGGATGGGCGGAAGCCGCACGTTCGCATCTTCGTCGCCGCTGCTGATGCCTAGTCGCTTGAAGTTCTTGTCGAAGCCAGCAACGCCGTCGTGGAGGTCGGCGGCGGCTGTATCATTTTGCTGGACTACAATCAGCCGGCGCTTCTCACGCAGACTCAGTTCAAACTGGAGCTCCGTGGCTTCGCGGGTAGATTGCACCGACTACACACGACATAGAAACACACGTTCCCCATCATCCCTTCGCAAGATAGATATGTCTCTAGAGCTACGACACAAGATCACATTCGTACTTGGTTGACGACCCACGCGTCTTCCCCGTCGTGGGTCCACTGCTGCAAAAACGTCCGCTTCTCGTGGATATGCGCTTGCGCTTCGTGGCGGCGATCGGCGCTCGCTGCGGCGGATTCTTGCGATTTGGACGCAAAGAACTACAAATACCATTTCACATATGCGGGTGACGTTGAAGCGAGCACAAAGTTGGATAGATGGTTGTTACGGTGGCGTTTTCGTGGTCCGTGTCCCACATAAATTGGGAAAACTTGCGCAAATGGATGGCCATATCGATGCGGTTGAGGTTGTTGACATCGGCAGGGTCGAGGGAGTTGATCAACGTTTCCACAAACCGCTCGCTGGTGTCCTAGCCAAGATACCCTTCAAGATGGTCACGATATTCAACATCGCCATGATGTCCACTGTACGTTTGGATCGATAGGGCGGAAATGTCGGGTGCCATGGGCTGGAGGACGAACGGACGTCGTGGACGCCACCGCGTGAGTCGGGTTGGTGTGGCGCTGGTCCACATACGTTTTAACGTCCATCAATACCTAATAGCACACATGACTTCGGGATATGTGAACATCTGGGCTGGACGAACTTTAGCTGCCGCGCCTTTCTTCTCCATCATAATGCCTCGTGCCAATTCGACGGGAAATGCAACGCGAATGGGTCGCAATGCCGCCGACAACTGCTCCATGTTGGCCACCATCGCTGGGACCGTGTCGCAGTCGTGGTAGCCTGCTGGGAACGACGCGTTCAAGTCCAACGCATGCAATACCTGGCCAAGGAGGTAGCCATTACTAAGGTCCTTTTCCATCGACACGACCGGTCGGTGGAGATGGAAGTCTCGGTTGAGCCATTCGATCAACAGCGCCGACATCCGTGGCGGTTGGCGTCGCACGTGCACCGAAACGGTTTTTGTAACCGATTTAAGTAAAGGCGGAGATTGGACCAAACCCAATGCAATGCTATTCCGTTGTTTATCATATCCTTACGGATGACATAACTAACTTCATCTTAGCTCGTCAGGACGATTCGGGCGAGGCGGCGGGGGGGCTACATACAAACGTACATCAGTCATCAATCGGAGATTATGTTTCCTACCCCCCAGACAATCGTTTTTTGGTTTCTTGCGCTCGTTTAAAGAACTTGGCATCCTTATCGGCTTGGGCCTTTCGTTGTTCGTCAATGTACTCTTGGTGTTGGTGGAGCTTGGCCAGCTCCCGGCGCTCCTTTTCCATGAGCCATGCCTGGAGTTTGACTTGCTTTTTCATGGCCTTCTCTGCCGCTTTCACGTCGTCTTCTTCCGTTCTCTTGGGGGGAGCATCCGACTGCCAGGATGCTTCGCCGTCGTCTACTGCGGAAGACTTGCCGCGGACTCGGAACGCCACCTCCGCCATGGGTTTGCTCGACAACATCACAGCTACACTCGTCCATGATTCTGATGTAACACCGTTGGACTCTAACGAGGAACACGTACATTTGGTTCTAGGGCGTGTCAAGCTAATCCCAGATGGCCGTTGCATCGTGGTCGCCGACGTATTCCCTTTGGACGATGCGGGCTGGATGAACTTGAACGACGTGTCCATGATGGCTTTGAGCTGGTCTTCTTCGATTTCAAATTTGAAAAAACTATCCGACGCCTCTTTGAGCCGAAGTAGCACCCCTTCCAGTGTCTACAACATTGTTTCAACTGCAATTTGGATTGTCCGATCTCTGTACCTGAGTTTGCTGGCGGTAGTACTGGTCGTCGTGGTTGTTTGTACCACTACTAGTACTACTACCGTTGCGGTCGGGACCAAGAGGTGCCGGTTGCTTCATCGGTCTCCCCCCGCCTTCGTCCAGCTGCCGTCGCAATTTAGTGTTGGTGTCTTTCAAATCGGCGTTTTCCTTGAGTAGTCGAACCAGGGTCGATTCGGGGGTGCCGCCGCCGGCGTGGTTACTAGTCGAACTTATAGTACTACTACTAGTACTACCAGGGGCAGAGGCTTCGAAAGCCGCGACGATGGCGCGCAAAGATTCGATCTCTTCTTCCAGCTTTTCCACGTACGCGGGGTCGATTTCCCGCTGCTCGTTCACTCGGACACACACCATCACCTACACCGCCCGCGACATCAAAACCGGCGCAGACATTAAAATGCGTTAGGCATGTTAAGGTCAGATTTTTGAGCTGGGAACTTTACCTGCTTGGCGCGATCGGCAAATTTCAAGGTCGACACGGACTCGTCAATGCAGTCCACGGCGGGGGACAGTGTAGCGATGATGCGCGTCTTGGTGTTGCCTCCTAAACTGTCTTGGAGCAACCGCGTGAGCTTCGAGTCTCGGTATGGCACGTGGCCGTTGTTCTACCGCAACGATCGTGTATTGTATCGCTTGCTTGAATCCATCTCTGTTCATTTATTGGACGTGTACCTTGGTGGTTAGCGACGCAATGCATCGCCCCAGAGTGTGCAGGCTGAGGTTGATATTGGTCATTTCAGAAATGTGATAATACTACGCTGGCATCGTTACGATACACCGTCACTCGACCAATCATACGACTGGAATGGCACCTGCATGTTGGCGTCGGGGTGCCACTTCTCCGACCCGGCGAGGTCCACGAGGTTGAACTTGGACTTGATGGTCGTGCCGTCGGTCGTTTTGATTTCCAAAAACAGCTGGAACGCGCTGTGGCTGCGCGAACTCACTTGGTTCATGTGTGTCGCGCGCACTGCCCGGTGTTCTTCGCCAGCTTGAAGCAGGGCGAAGCAGTCGTGCACGTTTTGCACGGCGTACTCGGACAGTCCTTCCACAAAGATGCCGTTGGATCTGTCTTCGTGAATTGCCAGGGGCTTGTCCATGTTGACATCGCGGAGCAAGTCATACAGGTTTTCATTGTATATTTGCACAAATGAGCAAAACACTGCCGCTTGCTGCGTGCCACTGGCGTTCTTCTTGATCACGCCAGCGAAGATGTCCTTAATCGCTCGCGGAATGATCCCAGCCTGGGTGTTCGCAGTAGGCAGTGTCAGGGGAAAACATCGAGGTTGCGGCCAGAAAAGGATATATTCACACAAGGGAAATGTCAACGACGACAACATATGTGACAACGTTCGTCGTTGGCGGTATATGAAACGGTTGGATGACGTACTTGGCTCTTGCATAAACCTGGGCGAAAGCGCGACAGGTCGGTCTCGGCACCAAACATCGTGAACGATTTGCCGCTGCCGGTTTGGCCATACGCGAACAACGTGGCGTTGAATCCGTCGAGGAACGCTTCCGTGCACTCCTTGACGCGGTCGTACACGTCCTCTTGCGACACGGACGGTCCAAATACAGCGTCGTACTTGCACTTGATGTTGGAGTCGGCAGTTTGCACTTCGATGGTCTGTCCCCCACACACGTGAGGTTCCAACAGAGGACCTTCCAGTGGAAGTGGACAGGGGATAAGTATGTACCTGGTCGCTGGTGGTATGAATAAAGTGCTGGGCCGTGGGGTCGTGCCCGGTTTCTCTGTCGATGAGTGGCCGGATGCGAATTAGCACTTGGATATTCTCAGACTGCCCGCCCCGCCTGACGGCACCGCTACTGCTGTCATTGACGGTTGAGCTGACGGTGATTGCAGTGTTGGCTGATGTAGCGAAGGGTGTGGCCGATGATGGTTTGTCGAGCTTTTTCCCTGTCGGTAATTGTGATACGCCGTGCGTAACCGACTCCTTGGCAAGTTGGCACAGGTGGGGCACTTTGGGATCTGACCACGATTGGCCGCAACACGGCGGCGCCGCTGCTGCCGACGACATGATGCCGATTTGTTTGCTTCTTGGCGGAAGCGTATTTCAAGCGGCCGTTTCACGGCGGTTCAATTGACAAAGTGCAGTTACGTACATTACATTGTCAGTTACTGTACTTCATGGGATGCCAATGTCAACTCACTGATGTAAGGATTCGATATTAATACGAATTTCCAGACCCCGTCGAATCGAATCTCGCCGCTGACAGTGAATCGATTGATTCGACAAACCAGGCGAATTTTGGAAGTTTATAGCGAATTCACAATACTAATTCCAAGTAATACTTCCAAGATATCGAACGCAGTGCACCATGGCGACGACATGCTTCCGATACTGTAACGTTACTGCGTCAGTATCGGAGTTACTAGTAGTTACTACTAGTAGTACGTAGTAGTACTGTATGATACCCCAGAAACATGATACAGTACCGACTACTACAGTACTATTTTTACAGTAGTAACACAATATGTTTTGTCTTGTGGAATTCACTTGCGTTCTGTATGAGAGTGAATCTTTTTTTCGTCATTTTTCCATTTGAGTGTATTAATAGTATAGTACTAAACACTACGAATAGTAGCTACTACAGAGATGGCTCGGATGTGTTTTTCTTGCTTCCACATCTCCAGCGTTTAAGAACTCGGGTTGAGGAACAGTACCAGATTTGGATGAATAAGATAAGGTTATACGACTGCACTAGTCGACGGAATAAAGTACAAGGGGCGACTACACACATTCACATGCACCACAGGCTCTTGCGGTGGTCGGCCAAGAGGTCCGAGAGGCGGAAGAGTTGATGGAGTCGAGGGCGGACGTCCGACAGGTTCAACAGGTTCATGAGCACTTTGGTCAAGGAATCCAACGTCTTGTCGTGGATGTCGTCGTAGAAACTTGGGACCGGAATGCCATTGCTTGGTTGCGGCAGGAACGACACAGGGTTGTTGTCAACAAGGACGACCTTAGACAAGTCGGTTCGGACCGAGCGCAGATCTTTCATGAAGAACCCGCTCTTGAGGGTACACGACGTGCGGAAGAAGTGGCCTTTGAACAGACTCTTCGATGGGTCCAGCGCTTCCAAAATGGGCCGACCGTACATTTCAAGCCCAGCCGTGAAGACATAGACGTCGAAATGCTGGCTGGCTTTCTGGAGGAAAGCGTCGAGGCCAGGTCGTTTGTTCACCACAACTTTTTCGCCGTCTTCCATGACGACTTCAAAGCATTCGGGGTACTCCTCGCTTGTTTCAGGACGCGCTTCGTCTTGTCGGTACTTGTTGGCCTTGTTGCTCTTGATCTTCGTGTGGACAAGGCATTCGTCCATGTCCAGCACGAGGGCAATGCGCTCACTTCGAATGTCCACGCCTGAAAGCGGCATGAAGGCATCATTCACCTTGGACGCGAGAGGATACTGAGCTACAGTCGCCGTCATGCGGGGCAGTGAGGAGCGAGGAAGAGTGAGGACGCGGACGATGAAAGGCCGACGACAAGCGCTGGCGGGACAGGAAAAGGAATAATGAGCTCATGCGTCGTAAGAGCAACGAGGCGCAGCATGGGGGGTAAAACCTCTGGGAATTACTGTGAGATTCACAAATGCACAGAAAATTTCCATATTGTTTTGATCCTTTTTTTCCGTGGCCGAATCGATGCAGTGTTCGATTCAGCATTTGTATTGAATTTATACAAAGAAATGCGATCAGAAAGCATTGGGCCATGGTTTGTCCCAGACCGTCATTCAAAATAAACCCATCCAATCACATCGTCGCATTCATAATTCTCGAATTCTAGTTCAAGTTGAGTGGCCAATCAATGCTCGCGATACTGCACTGATGTCATTTGCTCCGACGATTAATTGGCCAATAAGAATGTGTAAGTTATTGGATTGGCCAACCTGGGCGTATCTACCGCTCTCCCTGTCCGATGGGACAACAGCCAATCACATCCCAGACATTTTAAATAATTACTTCTCGAATACGTCACATTTTAAGCTTCCACAGTCGTGTTTTTTTACGAGTATTTGGGGCACTGCATTTACCGGGTATTTGAACCCTGCCGAGTTTCTAACGATGCATGCGGCATTGTGGGTACTCACTCTGCATATGGGGTCGAGAACAACTTCTTCTGGTTGGAACCTGCGGAACCTCAACGTAAGCTTCCAAGCCGTCGTCGTAGGCCCAACCATTGGTGTGCATGCTCGAAGTGGCAAGTGGAGCTGCTGGCTCGTTTGAAGGGATGACGTTGCTACATCGAGAATCGTACATTTGTACGTGTACAGTACAGTCTTGTATAATGTACCGTACTTCGTAGTATAAGGGTACAGTACAGTATTTTTGCATACCGGGTACAGTACCTTTGCTCAAACTGCACGGTAAAGTTACGAGTAGCCAAGTAGTACGGTACAGTTGTAACCCGTGTGTACGTACCGGTACTCCAAACCCGAAAGCCGTCGGGTAAATGAGTGTCGTTACAACAGTGCGATGTTGGTCGCGATCGCGAACGATCTCGAAGCCCCCGTCAGATATTAATGCATTCGTGTGCCTCCATGGTTGTGGTTGCCATGTATCAGTCATCACAGGTTTGCCATCTTCGACATTGCCACAGATGAGCCAAAGGAGAGAAACTTCACGTAACTGCCGCAGTACTGTATGTAGCCCAAGCGACAAAAAAGTGCTGAAGTGGTCAACCCACCACCGTTTCCACAACACATTCACATTATTTACGTAGTCGATACAGTAAAACACTACTAAAACATCACATAAAGTCCACAGCGCGCGCGTTTACGCAGCATGGCACGCCAGCGCAACGAGCAAATCCAATGGCGCCATCATGGCGCAAGGAGTGGGCGGTTCCTGGGGATGTCTATGCAGTCGCCTTCGCTTCATACTGCGGACCTCGGCTTGCATCACATCGGCTTTGACCTCGCTGCTGTTCTTGTGGAACGCATCCTCCAGTTGCTTGAGTTCCTTCTTACGCAAGCGTCGCATTTCAGGTGTGAGGCCTGAGAGCACAGATGCCGTCGGGTCATACCGATGCATGCCAAGAATCCCCGATGACTTATCGAACTTTTTACTGAGCCGCATCGGTGAGCAGTTGAGCTTGAGGCTGAGGTATTGTCGAAGAAGAATGCCAGTGGCGGCATCTGACACCAGGCCATCCTTGAAGTCGGCTGAGAGGCGAAGGGTGTACTCCATCTCAGCCTCTGTCCACCCCCCAGATCGAAGGGCGGTGCGCTTTGGCAAGGATGAAGCTCCGCTGGGCTTGCTCTTACGGCCGCCGTTGGCAGTGGAGCCAGAAGAACGAGACGAAGTTCGGGGTGGCTGTGAGGACGAAGTCGTGTCAGGAGAGACGAGGAAATCAATGCGAAGTTTGTGGTGGCAAGGCGGCGGAATGGCGCCGAGCTGTGTGGCCGTGAGGTTCATTCCTGTTGGCTTTTGTACAATTGCACGTTGCCTTGGACCGACCACTTGCGTTGTGAGTGGGGAAGAGATTCCAACCTGATTCGTGCGATTCAATCTTCAGCCAATGACACTTCAAGTTGTGACGGTGCGTCCCACTATGCCCTTGGCAACGGCAACTTCAACATTGATGTGGTGGCATCCCACTCCCAACGCCACTCGTTGCTCTCATCAAACGTGTATATAGAGAATGCAATATGCACTCTCCCATTCACTCTCCACAACGATTGAAGAACCATGGCCGTACAACAAACCCACCTTCAATCTGTCGCAAGTCTGTTCTAACGTCAAGAGTAATGTGTGTGCCGCCACACAAATACTGTACTACTAGGTTATCGTGACACAGGATCTTAGTAAGCTTAATAGCAGTGTACAGACTGTACTAGGTTACCACGATCAATGCTTTGGCAACCACTCGGTTAACCATAGCTAAATTAACGTTAGTGTATGGGACGTTGACATCAAGGACTGTAGACGCACTCCACGACGTCAGCACTTCGTACAACATGAAGTTTCAAAGAGTCATCAAGCATCGCAGCCGGAGACGACGACGGCTGGGGCGAAATGGTGTCATCTCGCAACTTTGTAGTCAATTCACTGATTTGAGGATCTAGCTCGACTTCGCGCACGGGTTCGGCACTGGTGTCAAGAACTGGTGCAAAATCAGCACCATTCAAGTCGCGGGGTGTCACGTCGCACTCAGACATGGCACCTTCGAGTTGCGAATCGACTGGTGCAGGTGATGGTTTCTCTAGGGACGATGTTCCAAGTGCCGTGTCGGAGGCATCAATGACATCTTCAGCCACGTCGTTCCCTGCATGTTTAGAATTGATGTAGTCGGTGTCTGGGCATTCTGGGGAGTCGTGAACGCCAGTCTCCGTGGTCAGTCCAGTTGCGGCTTGCGTGGCGTTAGCTTTGCCGTGCCACTTTCGGTCTGCGGCTTCTCGAGCTTTGTTGAGGGGACGTTTGAGCCAGTACGATCCCTTCACATGATGCACATACTGACAGCTACGTTCTCGCGATGCCTTGGCGTCGGCTGCAATCCTCTGCAGCTGGTTGTGGACGTGCTTTCGAGTGGTGTCGTGGGATCTCTTGGACGATTGGTCGTGGCGATGTTTCTGCGTGAGAATCGCTTGGGCTCGCTGGGTCACGTCGCCGCTCTTCTCAAGCGCGTGGGTGGTTAGCCCAAGAGATGCTTTCCGCTTGTACCATCTCAAGTCCATTGCCATCGTGACTTGCGCTTTGGCTCGATCCTGGAGCTGCCGCATTGCCACTTTGGTCTGGGCCAGCCGGTCGTGTCGGTTCTTGGGCGGCTCCGTCATGACGCTTCGACGCCACTCGCGCTTGAGTTGTCGTTTCAACGCGTCGTCAGCTTCCGCTTTCATTTGCACCTTTTTCACACGGGCGTTCCAGTCGGACACTCGTTTCGCAGCAATTTTCGCAGCAATGCAGATCGCGTCGTTGTCCCCACGAACGTTGCTTGCGATTGCAGTCTCGTCCGGGCAAGGCGGGGGCGTTGGGATCGGATCCTCTCGACGGCGGCAGTGCTTGCGAATCGTCGCCTCGTCGTACGAGTTGCACACGACGAGCAGCAGTGGTGGCGCCACGACGCCCTTGTCGCAATCTGGACAGGTTGCAGTTGAAGCGATATCATGGGAGTCGTGAAGTAGGCGTGGCACTGCTGTTGGCACATCAGAGTTGTTTCGTTGCTGAACGGCACTTTCAGTGATTAGAATGGCAGACGTCGCCTTGCAAGGCAGGTCGTCGACAGACTTGTCGGCAACGATCTGGTCCAACACGATCTCATCTGCGGACGCCTCATGCTCAAAGTCGGCATCATCTCCGTATTCGTCACAGTCATCAGCCATGGCAATCACTTTTTCTGGCGGGAACACTTGGGAAGTCCTGGTTTGGTTGTGTAGCCTATATTTAGCCCCCAGCAACCCCCCTCGCCGTAGCCAGAAAACAGCCCCAGCAACCCCCCCTCAACGTAGCCCCTCTTTCCACTAGGCAGTAAGTACTCTGTGGAGTAACTGTCAATTACAATCCTTGGGTATGTGGACATGGCTTGGACGCCATAAAAAAACATAGAGGTATGTATTATTGTGCTTTCGAGTGAAATTTCGTGTTGTGGCGTGGTTTCTCGTTGGAATTTAATTCGATTTGATTGGCTACCTCAGATGAGCTCAAAATTATTAGCCAATCAAAACCATCTCAATGAAATTCAACCAATCAGATCGATTGTGGATCGGTTATTTGGTCGGCGCGATTCGATTGCACCCCCTCCACCAAATTTGTATCAAATCGACAATAGTTCCACTCGTGTTATTTGGTTGCTATTGTTCTATCCATCAATAATCATCAAAGTCGTGTTCGTCGTGTCGATGCCACCGCGACCGCTGCTGGCGATACGTCGATGTATCTGTGACGATGCAAACTCAGCCACAACGATGTCAACGGGTATCTATATATCCATCCATACCTCGTTGCCTGGGCAAGTTGGCCACAGCGGCCAAGTTCATGTACCCTTGGTCATCGCGGGCTCTCGCTTTTCCACGGGACGACGGTGAAGGCCACTTGGCTCGGCAATATATACACGTCAGCTACACAACAACAGGATGAGCCATATCCAAAGCCGACTATCGTTTACTACCGGAACACCGGTGGCCCGGCGCGACTTTTCCCATTGGCCAAAGCACTCGGAGTGAATGTTGTTCCCACATTGCTCTTTGCACCACACGACGGGTCTGCCGTCGTCCAGCGCCTCGAAACAAATTGGGCAGTCCGCCGCTTCCAGGCTCTTTTGCTGTACGCCTCCCAAGTCGGGGGTGCCTGGGGAGGCGCCAGACGCGAGCGCCGCGCGGTAATGTGTCACCACTCGGGCGTTGGCCACCGCCGTGGGGTCGGCCTGCGATGCCGTCTCAAAGATTTCTTGCAGTTCCGACGTCAACAGCGCTTTCTGGAACACGTGGGGGCTCGTCGCGGGTACACGGAGGCACTTCAAGTACACAAATCTACTCCAACTCAATGAACAAAAACCTGACTTTAACGGGAGACACACGGACAGGATGTGCTTGCAGAGATTGCCTTTGAGGAAGTCCGGACACGTGCACGCGGGCACGAATTCAATCGACACGGTGTAAATGTTGCCTATACATCATACACACACAAGATCAGAGGGTATCTATCGATCATGAGGCATAGATGACAGACCAAGGTGTGAGAAATAGATGAAAGAAAATGACGAGACATAGATGAAAGGAGAGAACTCTAGATGAAACAAGATGAGGATGGATACCCGTTTGGTCCCAAGGACGGCAAACGTTTGGTGCAGTTTGCACTTTACAGGATAAATCATGCCCAGCAATAGAGAAGCGAAGACGACGGTGGCAATAATATATATATATATATTGTGCTTTCGAAAATCGATTTGATTGGCTACCTCAGAGGAGCTCAAAATTGTTAGCCAATCAAAACCTTCTCAATGAAATTCAACCAATCAGATCGATTGTGGCTCGGTTTGGTCGACGCGATTCGATTGCACCCCCTCCCCAAATGTGTATCAAATCGACAATACATATATGAAAAGGAGGAGTACCCGTGCTGCCAAGGACGGCAAATGTTTGGTGCAGCGGAGACTTCACTTGCTTTTCGATTAAAAACATGCGCTGGTGGATCGCGCGGGCGATGCGGTCTTGGGTCTGCTGGCTGGCGACCGTACGATACCGCGCGAGGCGTTTTTCTGGTATGTTCGAACCAGTCTCCCCTGGTGGCTTCTTCGTCGCCTTGGACTGGCGCGCTCGTTTGGCGACTGGAACCATTGCATCGTCTGTCTTGTCGTCGTCATGCCGGCGTCGATGGGGTTGTTGCTGCGAGGCCAGCGGGACATGCTGTTGATGGTGCGGGGGAAGTTGTGGTAAACCGCCGGAGGGCGAAGGAAATAGCGGCGAGACGGCGGCGCGGCCGTGTAGCCGAGGAGCGGGGGGGTGATGTGGATATGGATTTGTGTGGTTGTCCGCTGGTTCGTGCTTCGACATGTAGGACGTGGAACCGTATGATGGTGGATACAACTGTTGTGGCTGGTGTGTGGCGTCGGCCATCCCAGGAAGGTGTTGGGTATGCTGCTGCTGGCACGGGGATTGCTGCATTGCAGATTGTGACTGCATGGACGCCATGCTAGGAAGAGCAAAACGGCGGAGTACGTTAGTCTGGGGAAATGCGGACGACGATCCAGGCAGCAGTCGTGGCGGCGCCCCTCCTTCAACCTTGAATTGTTGAGAAAGGGGTGCTAGCTGCGGCAACATAATTCGCGCTGGTTGTTGCTGTGTCCTCGCGTGTACATGATGCTCGAGTTTTGGCTTCTTGTCGGATATGTAGTCGTGTTGCTGCCAATGCTGGGACGCGGAGGCTGACGATTCATGCCCGCGTCGTTTCAAGTCCCCGGAAGCAGTCGATGGAGAGCCCATGGTGGCATAATATTGGGGGGTCGAGACTCCGTATGCCATTTGCTGCTGTCGGGGAAAGGTCGGGTGGTAGTCGTCGGGATGGGTGGGTGGAAGTTGTCGACGTTCGTCGTGGTGCTGTCTTGTTGCTCGATGCTTTGCCAACCCTTCATCCGAGACCAGGCCTCTGTTGTTGCAGAACCATCGATCGATCCGTGCGGTGTCCACACCGCCCAACTCGGCGGCGATGTTCGCTCGCCAACCGGCGCATTCCTTCCTTGAGTTACATCCTGCCCGCAGGTGCTTGATCAGCACCTCCTTCTGCGCTGGCGTGAAATACATAACAGATGAGACGGAGGTTGTTGCTCCCGCCATTCCAAGAATATACCCTGCAACAATCTATATTCCTTTATTATGTATGACAGGATTGAAAATGACTACGTCAACACATGGTGGCAGATAACGCACAATACCGATTCAAATTAACATCTTTCCCATGAACAGGAACCCGCGCCGGCGCGAGCCGCCGCCATCGTCATCACGTCTCCGCATCACCATTGGGAAACTGGATGAGAAGGAGGCGATGCATACACCTGTCGGTACCGCCACGCCCAAAACACCACGCGATGCCACGGACGGCTTCTCGACAGGTATCCGCTTGATGAGTCAAGGCGTGGCGTCTGGCATCAGTTCGTTCGTGGTGATGCCACTACTTGGTGCACACGAGGACGGATTATATGGATTTGCAAAGGGTATAGTGGTTGGGAGTGCGTCGGCAATAGCGGTACACGCGTGTACCCACCTTCATACTCTCATACCAGTGGGGTGTAGGCGGTGGGAGGTGGCACGGTGACCGGGGTCGGTCAAATTTTGTGGGGTATTGCCAACACGCCGTACGCCATCATGTGTTCGCACGAAGACAAAGTGTGGAATCCAGACACGCATGAATGGTACATGTACCGTCTCGACGACGAGGCACGACGTCTCTTGACGAGCGACGACGACCAGTTCTCGTCCAAAGCGACAACGTGTGTGAAAGACACCAAGCTGTACGACGTACTCGGCGTCCGTTTCAACGCCACGGACGCAGAGATCAAGAAAGCCTACCGCCGGTTGGCCATTCAATGGCACCCCGACAAGAACCTAACTGATCCTGCGAAGGCGTCGCAGCAGTTTCAAGAGCTCAGCTCCGCGTACCAAGTTCTGTCGGACCGTCGCAACCGCGCCGCGTACGACGCGCGGGGGCACGACACGACGACTCCCACCTTCACAGATGACCAACTGTACGCCATGACGATGCAATGGGTGTTTGGCAACGAGCACTTTGAGAACTTTGTGGGGGACGTCAACATAATGCCCAACGACTTTTTCGGCCACGACGAAGTCTCGAAACGGGTTCAGAATCGTCGCGAAGTGCAATGTGCAGTGTTCTTGCGGGACCTCTTGGACGACGCTCAGCGTCCTAGCCCATTTACCGACAAACAGAAACACGCAAACTTCCTCGCGACTGTGGCGGCATTGGCCAAGGACTTGAGCTCGACCAAGTTTGGCGCGTCGTTGCTCCGCGTAGTTGGCGTCATTTACGAAGAGCAAGCGCTCAAGCATTTGGGGTTCCGGAACAGCGCGCCGGCGGGACTCGGGCTGCACAACATCGCCAAGTCGGCGAGAAAAGTTGTGTCCAGGTATCGAGTCGTGGCGTCGTACATTAGTGCGTTTCAGTCGGTGGTGAAAGCCGCGGAAGTGAATTATCATGCGATGAAAGCTCAGGACGATCGCATGAAAGACGGAGATACCAGTAGTCGCTCGGGCGAGCAGGAACAACTGCTACACCAAACGTTTGGCAGCGTGCTCGAAATCGGATGGCATTGCATCGTGTCCGACGTCGAAGCCACGATTCGAGGAGCGTGTTTCAAGCTGCTCAAGGACTCGGCTGTGTCGACCTTACACCGAGACCGACGCGCGAAGAACTTGCTCATCATGGGCGAGATCTTTCAAGCGAGCGGACAACCCCCCGAAGCAGGATTGGCCGAAATTCTAAACAAGTTGCTCCAATTCAAGCAATCGATGAAGCCACCTCAACCCACGTCGGCGGCATGATGATGGTGGTCGTACATGTGTATTCTAGCTTCCAACAATAAGGATGCAGAGAATGGTACTCGTTTGAATCGTGTAGTCTCAGTCTTGGTCGTAGCTACCATGGTTGCAAAATCTACCGTGGTAGAGGACCGAACATGATTGGACATATAACTGACACTGCGAAAAATAAGCTCGTACGCTTTAGACACGTCCTAGCGCCCCCTAGATACAAAGAGAGAGGTTCACGGTCACTCCTCAAGTACTACGCGCGATTGAAGTATGGCCCCACTAACGTTACTGGAACTTCAATTTGAACCAAGAAAAGCTGGGCGACCATTGCACCGTTGGGTTTGCCATTGGATGTTGGACAAAGTGGCCGCCAGCAAGGCGAAGATCGCAGCCAAGAAACAGTTGACGTTTACTCGACATAGCAACCAAGAAAGTCAAGTTCAAGTCACGACGGACATGTCAACCGAACACAATGTATTGTGCCAAGGCCGGCAAGTTGCACGCGCATGAAGTCGAGCACAAGATGTTGAAGACCGATCCGAACGGCGCGGTGCCACGACGTTCAAGCTGGTCGAGTTTAGCCTGCTCAAGCACACTATAGAGCGATAATGTTGAACGGTTCAGGTACAGTAGGTGACACCATGCATGCAGTCCGACGAGATTCCATACCAGTAACGTTAGGGTTGTGTAGATGTAAATTAGAGTAAGATTGACATTGCATTTTGACTTTTGGGTCAGACAAAGGATATTTGTGGTAACGTTAACGTTACGACGATTCCGTTTTAAAGTCCTAACTTAATAATAATGTCATAGACACATGAATAGAATCACATGAATAGAATCAGTACGGCAAAGTACCTCGACACTTCGGCTACTTACTCCATGAGAGGCAATTTTGAACCCCGAAACCCCGGAACCCCGAAACCCCCCTTTCGGTCGAGTTGAAGTGGCAAGTTAGTGGCGTGACCTTTCTGGTGAGCGACAATCACTCTTGTTCGGGTTGGGAACATTATATTATGTAAATCCACTTGCGTTTTGTATGGATAAGTTCTTGATTTGAATAAAATGGGCTCCCATGCGGTCATTGAGAGGAGAACAGCAGTCAGAGTTTTGTGGACGTTGTCAACATGTCTGCGGCGTTGGGTTCCAGCGACAAGGGCGTGGAGGAGCTGAGTCAGAACGACTGGCTTGCCATCCAGCTGCCCAAGGAGATCCTCAGTCACGGAGGAAAGTTGGCACATCACTTCCGCACGCTTGCCCTCGACGCGCAGGACGCGGTGAAGCGCGATGTCCTGCGGCGATTTGACAGCCTGAAGAAAGAATCCACGAAAGAGTTTCCCGCGACGTTGTTTGAAGGGGAAGATTTGGATCGCATTCGTATTTTCAACTCCAAAGACACGGCCGAGCTCAAGTCCTTTCAAACGTCAACCCCGTCGGCCGTTCTCAGGGAATTGCAATTGTGCCAGACGCCAACGTCTGCCAACAACCATCAGGTTACATGTTTCCAAACATCGTACTGCTTTCAGCGACATCTAGACCTTCTCGCGCGTTGTGTCCACGCATCCTCTCGACCTGATCCGAATGCCAACACCAAGTACCCCGTGTCTGCGCACGACCCGGCCATTTTCCCCGAAAAACTGTTTTCCCTGGCGTCGTGTCGTCTGCAGCTGGAAATGCTGTCGTCGTTTCGACAAATCAACCCAACTTTCTACCGAAATGGCATGCACATCCTCATCCGAACGGTGCTGGAATGTCCCCCTCAAGCTCTGCAACACATCGCCCCCAAGACGGCGGAAGCGGCCATGTTGCAGTCCATGTTTGAGTTTTGCACGCACGTGATTCAAGACTCGAGCAGTACGCCGCCAGAGAAGCTGTCTGCGTTGTCCCTTCTCCTGGCATTGGGGGAGTCGAGCGGCCTCGCGCGGCACCTGCTGGTGGTCGTGGAGTCGCTGCTGTTGAACCGCGTCGGCGCCGACTTTCCGGACGACACGTTTGCCTCTCAAGTCACGGACGTCGTCGCTCGCTTTGAAGCGTATCGTGTCACGTTCGACCTGGGCTCGATTTCGGCCAAAACGATCAAGTCCATCCGGCTTCAAGAAGACGACGACAGCGTGTGCGGCACAATTGCAAGCGACGGCAAGTACTTGTATGCGTTTACGGGCCAAGGGCTGTCCAAGCTAGGCACGGGGTACCGAGGCACGATCCTCGGTAATGTGTACGCGACCCAGCCGCTCGACACGTTTATGGAATGGCTGGGGTGGGACGCCTCGAAAGAGATCCCATACTTTGTGTACGTCGTGCTCGTGCAGCAGAAGCTGTTTGTGTGGTTTGTCCGGCGACAAGTTGACGCGAAGATGGTGCCGTTCTTGTTTGAGTTGTCAGTCGACGACTTGGACATGGTGGCGCGCGACTGCGACGACGCGGGTACCGTCGACCTGATTGAGAACGCCACCAACGTCGAGTTTTGCAGCGACGGCTTGCACATGTTTGTGATTGCCACCACGTCGTCGTCGTTGTCGTGGCGAAAGCTCGATCCCGCCGACAATTGGGCGTGTTTGCAGCACGAAACGCTGGACGAGTCGCATGTTGGCAAGGAAGGCCGGGACATGCTGACAGGTGAGATGCTGCCGTTCTTTTACACGAACGGCCACATCTTGACGGGGACGCTGAAGAAGGACAAGAAGCTCAAGGAACTGTCGATTGCGTTGGCAACATCTGTGGTTCAATACACCGAGTATGAGAGCGCTCTAACTCCCCACGCGATTTGCTTTGACGCGCCAAACAATCTGCTGTGGAGCACGTCGGCCAAGTCGGTGCAATGCCATGCCAACACGGGCACCCAGGTGATTCTCCGCCCCGCCCGCGTTTTGAATCCAGCGTTGGTGGCCGCCATACAACCGCAGTCGCTTACCAGTCGAGTCGTGGGGTTGCGGCTACTGTCCCATCTGGAATCGATTGTGGACGCATACCTTCCAGACGACATCAACCACATGGACGTGACTGGCCACGCGGCCAAGATTGTGTTTGCCGTCGACGTCGACGAATCCACGTTCAAGTCACTCATGAAGATGGTGTCATCGTTTGCAGACGCAGCAGGAGCGTTGACAGAGTGGCAAGAGTACGTGGTCGTTGTGTGCTTGAAGATGCTGTCCCTGAATACGCTGCACTGGCTCGTGCACAAGACACACGCGATCGCGGACGTTGTGCTCAAGTTGAACTTTCCCGCGGTGCTCAAGTCTCTGATTGCCACGTCATCCAACAGTCACATCGTCGACGCCGCGCGAATGCTGTTTGTGCTGTCGATTGACATTTTCCACACGACCATATCGGCGCAGTGGCAGCTCCTTGTGTCGTACATAGACAAGTTCCACCACAAAACCCTGGCTCCAGAGGAGCGGTCGGTTGTAACGCTCCTTCTGGACCGGCTCGCGTCCAAGCGCAAGACGCAAGACGCCGTCCAGGAAGCTGCGACCGCCGACTTTGACGGCATGCACTGGTTTGAGAAGCTGGTCCAGTTGTCCGTGGCGAACATGTCGCTTCAAGTGGCCAACGACGAAGACAAGAGTTTGGTCGAGGTGGGTGAAAAGCTCACGCACTTGGTGCATTCAGTCGTCCATGGCGTTCTCGGGGGGGTGTGGGGGCACATTCTGCCCGTGTCTGTGCTGCTCGACGTGTTTCGCATTGTGCTGAATGGATGCATCGACATGTGCGAATTGGATGGCACGTCGACCGATCTGCTGGAATCGTCGGTGCTGGGCCAAGTGGCCGCTTCTTTGGTCGGGTTTACCCAGACGATCCTCGTAGCTGACGGACAGCTCGACAACCGCGACCAGTGGGAGGTTGCAGCGTTGACGGATATGACGCGCCAAGTACTGTCGTTGCTCGAGAAACTCGTGCCTCTCGTCGCCAGTGTGCATTCCGACGACCAAGAAATGTCCATTGACGTCCAGTACGTGGGCAAGTCGAGTGTGGACATGGAATCGGCGCACGAGTACGCCAATGATACGCACGAACTCAAGGAACTGCGGCTGGACGGCGCCACGTCCATGACGATCACGTTTGACAGTCGCTGCCGCACCGAGCTCAACTACGACTACGTGACATTTTACCACGACCGGTCGTGCTCGGCGTACTATGGCGACGAAAAGTACTCTGGCCGAGACTCGTCATTCAATTGGCCAGGAGTCGGGTCGATTCCCCCCCTCGTGATTGAAAGCGATAGTTGCGTGGTGCTGTTTCACTCGGACGGGTCCACAGTTGACTGGGGGTTCAAGTTCACAGCGGTAGCCAACGTATCGGAAAACAATGTGTCGCTGCACCTACACTGGCTTGTGGCCGTGGAGGAGCAGCTCACCAACTTGCTCTCGACCGTCGCAACCCTCGGATCGACGTGGATGCCGCTCGATGCTGCTTTGGAGACGGATCAGGCGCAGTTTCTAGACAATGATTTGCTGCACGGGGGTGTCGACGATGCCACCGACGACGACACGGAAGTGTCGGCGTTCTTGCGCGAATTGATCGAGCTGAATACGCCCGACTCACCGGCGGCGCATGTGGCCAAGACGCTCAAGCAGCATACGATTCAAGACCAAGGCGCAGTGGCGCACATCAACCGCGCCGTGCGTGCCGTCGCCGCCGCCATGTTGCATCACAACATGTCGAGTGTGGATGCATACGCTCTAGGCCAAGGTCGCGCCTCGAACCCCAACCCGGCGTTGCTCAAGGCGTGGAAAAACGCTCAAAAGATGCGCAATTGGTTTGACGTGGGCGATGCCAAGCGGCCGACGCGGCACCCCGACGAGTCGTCGACTTCCCCGCCATCTTCTACGAAACCAAAGCTGACCCGGCAACCGTCGGCGTACGTGGGCGCGTCGGACGATTCGCTGCGGACGCTGTGCGCCAACGTCGAGGAACGGGCGACCTTCTTGCTGTCGCTGGCCCCGGCGTCGTTCAGCTTGGCGACGGCGTCCGACGACCCGACGGGGGCAAAGAAGCGGTGGAACTTGCTGGCGCAGTATGGCACGGCGTTGAAGCAGGGCGACACCAACGCCGCGGCGATCCTCAAAAAGTGGCATCTCCTCGTGGACGAAGTCGAAGCGGCCACGGAACTCAAGCGCAAAATGCTGTATCGAAAGCAGTCGGCCGGGCGATACCAAGGCAGCCACGAAAAGACCGTGACGGAATTGGTGCTCGAGTTTGTGCAGAGCGACGTGGTTGTGTCCGACTTGGCGGCGGCGGTCCAGCTGCGGAACCGCCGCGCGCAATTCCGGTTGCTTACGCTCACGATTCTGTTTCGAACGTCCGAGATCAGCCGCAATGGCCGCCTTCTACACACGTTGGTCGAGCGCGTGTCCACGTCCTTGTCTGAACTGGATGCGAACAAAGTACACTTTTCAACGCACACCCACGGGTGCTCGCTGTCGCTTCGAAACAACTTGCGAGGGGAGTTTGCCAAGGTCCTCCAAGTGTTTGCAAAAGTCCTTCGCCAGGTAAACAGTACGCCGCCGCTCGTCGGCAGTGTCTTGAAGTGCATTGCCATGGATTACGACATCAAAGAAGACGCCCATCTGCTCTTCCAGAGTTCCATTGTCCCAGCCGTGTTCAACTTGTTGCTGTCGGCCCACCCGGTCGTCCGAAATGCCGCCCAAGCCACTGCCCGCGTCTTGTTGGAGCGGTTCATGGTCAAGGAAAAGGAGTCGCATGTGCAAAAACTACTGTGCACCCGTGTGCAGCATTACGTGGACCAAGTGCATGGCTCCGTCGGGGGGGCGGGGGTGTTCCTCCCCCAGCAAGCGAGTTTCTTCACCTCGGACGCGGCGTCGTTTGTGTCTTTGGGGCTTTGGGTATATGTGCCACGAATAGAGTGGCGACCCCTCCGCCAAGGGGACCTTGTCGTGGTGGGGCCCCAGTGGACCGACGGCCCCCAAGCACAACCCACGGGGGTTGTCCTCGCTGTGCATGGCAACGACATCTCCGTCGAATGGCATGCGCAAGGGGCGCAAAAGGCCAAGAAAGGATTCCACAAGTATGACGTGGCCAGCACAGTCCTCGAAGTGATCCCGGCCGACCAAGACCCCCGCGGTCAAATTTTGCTGCGCACGAATCACACCGACACCCCGTGGGGGCAACTTTGCCTCCGATTGACCACAGAAGTCAAACTCGAAGCCTCCGTGAGCCTGGGTCCGTCGCAGTCGACGACCATCATCGGCACTGACCCCATTCCAGTCGACACATGGCAATACGTTGTGCTAAATCGCGAGAACGACGTGCTTCAGATGACGATCCAAGGGGAAGTCGCCGCACAAGTGCCGCTGTGCGACGTGCTCAAGGCGCACGGACCGACCCACCCAAGATATGTCGTTGAATCGGCCCATCCTTTCCATGGCCAAGCCGAGCAATGGTCCTTCTTCCCCGTGTCGATTCCGAACGCTACGCTCGTCCGCATCACGTTTGACGCCCAGTCCAACTTGACCCAAGCGTCCAATTACATTGCCATCTACTCGGATGTGACCATGGAAATTGCATATGGGGAAAACATGTACAACCAAGCGTTTGGCAACTTTCCTGGCGTCGGCGACAACACGTACACGAGATTCTTTGTGTGCATCTTGGACGTTCATATTGTTTTCGTAATATGGTTAGGGGGCTTGAGATTCCGTCTGGTGACTTTGTTGTGGGCTTGTACACTGAAGATACGTCCGAATTATGGGTAGGTACTAACTTCTACTACATAGCAACGTCATGTGTAGTACACATATTACATCTCGTTTTAGTCACTCCCTTGACTTAGGGATTTCGCATCACGGTGCAAGTTGTGGAAAGCAGCACTTTAGATTTCAATAATGCCAACAACAATACCCCGTTCCAAGTGTACTTTGGCGAATCGCCGAGTCGCGTGTCCAACGAGAAGGCGGCGGCGTGCTACATTGAAGACTTCAAGCTGTTTGACACTGCCCCGCCAAGCGGATGTCCGAAGGCGACGCCGCCGCCGCCACCGCATTTCGAGTTGGAAGTACATGCGTCGGAGCTTTGCCTCCACGCGCTAAGCTTGGTCAATGTCTGCCTAGTCAGCCAAAACGAATATGGAAGCCAAGTGATCTCGCCATCTGCGTCCTTGCACCACGTGCTGGACCTGGCGTTCTCTCCGACGCTGCCTGTATCTGTGCGATGCTGTGCGACTACTGTGGTGAGTCGCCTGCTGTCCAACGCTCAAGTGGATGTGGCAGACTTGGACGTGTACATCGCCAAGGCATTTGCAACGCTAGCGTCGACTGTGGACCCGTGGGCAAACAAGCCATCGCAGCTGTTTCGTCCGTCGGCGTCGGATGCAATGTGGCTATCGACGTGCTACGCGGCGTTCCTACGCGCCTGTTGCCATCAAATCGACTGGGGCGGGTCCATCTCGACGACGTTGATGCAAAAACTGACAGATCCCCATGCTTTCGATCAACGTTTGGCGGCATTGGCCGTTCTGGGGGGGACGGTCGATGGTGTTTTCGTAGGCAGTCGCGTCTCTTGTTTGGTCAAGCGCGACGCAGTGGAGGTGGGCACGCTGTTGAAGTTTGAGTTGGTGGGCGGCCAGCGCATGGCTCGAGTGCTTTTCGACATGGACATGACCAAGGTTGATTCAATCAATTTGGACAAGATCACAATGGCGAACAAGCGCACGCCGCTGTACCTGACGACCTTGTACGATCGGCTCAGCCCGTCCATGCACGCCCTCGTCGACGTCCTACACGGACTGAATGTGTCGGCGTCTTCTCCCACCCAGCAGCAGCAGCATCTGGAAGCCCAATCGCGACTGCTAAAGGCCATTTACTTGCTCATCCAGCATCAACCTCAAGCGTCTGTGATTCCATTGCTGCGACCGGCGCTGACGGAGCTGGCGCTGTCGCAACATGACGGGATGTTGCTCGGTGTGAAACCCACACAACAAGTGTTCGAGTCCAGACATCCGTACCGCGACGGCCAAGACGTGTATGAAACCGTGTTTGTGAAAAATGCTAAGTCGCTCAGGATTTCATTCGACGCAGCGTCTCGCACAGAACAAGGGTGCGACTACGTGACGTTTTACAAGGATTCGTCGCACTCGCAGCGCTGGGGCGACGACACATACAGCGGCCGCGACGGGTCGGAGAATTTCCCTGGTTGCGGGGGCCGTCCAGCTCTGGACATCCCAGCCGACTCGTTCGTGTTGTTCTGGCACTCGGACAGCTCCAACAACGACTGGGGGTATAAGTTCACCGTCGAAGCCACGTACAAGGACATCCCTGCGTCGTCGTTCTCCACGGGCGAGCTCAATCAACGCATGTACCATCTGTCTGAAGTCATGTACGAGCAGCAACAGCATCAACCGCCCATCAAGTCGTCCGTCGCGCCCGTAGACTTGAAAGGTGCTGCCAACAACGTCGTCGAAGTGGTCCAGCCCGATCAATCTACACGATCGCAGGACGCGTTCAGGGACTTCAATCATGAGAAACCCATCGTCGAGTGGACCGTGGAGGTGCCGGCGTGCACTGTGTATGAGACTCAAGCTACGTCGAGCGCCGTACTTGCGACGTTAAGTCGTGGCGATGTGGTAACTGCGGTCGAGTTCACGGACGATGGCTGGGTGCACCTTGATCATGGTGAAGTGTTGTCTGGGTGGTGCCAACTCACCGAGCCACAGTCGCTCCGACAAGTGGCTTCCCATCCATATCTAGAGTTTTCCACGCGCCTTCCAGGCTGGGACGCCGTCTACACGCCACTTCCAAAGCCCGACGAGCTCACGACACCTAAACGCGATGACACGGACTCGTTTGAATCGCATTTCAACGCAGAAACTATTGCATTCACTTCAGCGGACGCGTCGCCGTCGATCCTGTTGGCGGAATTTTCGCAGTCCGCGACGGTTCAATACGCCAAAGAGTGTTTGCGGTCGTACGTGTCGTGCGGGCTCCACGCCGACGACTTGTCTGTGGCCACGTTTGGGCAGTTGGCGCAATTGTTTGCACTGGAAAAGACACCGATCGCCGACACGCTGGGCGACCGGCTCAAGGCCCTGGCGTCGCAGCCCGAGTTTGCCGCTGAGATTGTGTCGTTGCATTTGTCCGCCGCCGCTGCCGTCACCCAGTCCCTTCCCCGTCGCCAAACGTTCGCAAAGGTCGTACAAGACATGAATCGCGATTCGATCGAGACGATTTACTTCCCTGGCGCCTCGTCCATTCGCATTGAATTCGACAAGGACACGCATTGCCACGAAACCGACGAGTTTGTTCGTGTGTACGACAAACAGGGCGTCGTGGGCTCCAAGTACCAAGGCCCGAAAGGAGGGGGATGGCCGGGGGTGGGCACCGCCGAGCCGCTGGTGGTGGACTCGGACACGGCCATCGTCCAGTTTGAATACGTCAGCGATACCGGCGCCACGCGGCTGATTAGGTTTACCGCGTACGGCGAATACAGACGAGACCGCGCGCCGTCGCCACCGCTGCTGCCTCCAGACTTCCTCGATGTGATTCAGTTGTCGTTGTGGGTGTTTTGCCTTGTGGCCCCGTCGCCCGCCATTCCTAGCACGTCGTTGGCGGCCATTGTCGACATGTCGTTGCAGCTATATCAAGTCATGCCAGAGCGAATTCAGGCGCATGTGATCGCGTTGTGGGCAGCGCTCCTGACAAATCCGTCGGTTTTCAATGCCTTGACGGCGTGCCAGATCAAGGCTTGGGTGACGTTTGTCAAGAACAAGCTGCGCCTGCAACACGAGAGCGACCTCCGCCGCCAGTCGATTCTCCTGCAGCGGTTAGTGCAAACTGTCGTGGACATGGACATGCACTTGAACGAGTACCTGCTGCACATTGAAGCACTCTCAGACACGTTTACGAACTTTGAGTTTGAGTCTGGCTCGACGCTAAGGACCAACATTACCGCCGGTCCGGTCCTGCTTCGAACTACTCAAGGTGTGAGCTCCGGACGACATGCATGGGACATTCACATCCAAAACATGACAAGGCGTGTGGATATGGGGATTGTCGCGCATGCTTCAGATGCCTTTTTGATTGCATTTCCTCAGGACGTTCCATTAAACCAAGGCGATGTCGTCGGGTTCGAGCTCGACTTGCATTTGAACGTGGTCACATTCAAGCGGAACGAAGCCGTGGTTGGTTCCCAGCCTGTGGGTGTCGTAACCAGCTCCCTGTACCCGGCTGTTGTCCTGCACGACCTCGTCTGCGACAGAGTGCACATCACCAAGCAGCCCCCGCTCCGAGCGCAGCTGTGGCCGTCGATTGCTCAAAATCCACCGTGGTACAACAAGCTCGTGTCGTCCGTGCGTCTGTTGCGTGGCCTGAACGCTGCGGATTCGCCCAGCACAATACACATTTCCAGTCCAGATTCAGAGGGAAGCATCCCTGGAGCCGAAAAATTGCATGTGCATGTCCGTCCAAGTTCCGTGCTGGCTCCAGACACCCTCTTGGCACTTACCAACCCAAAAACCAACTTGTCTAGCGTGTTGGTGGAAAGTGCCAACCATTTGCTGGCGCCGTCGCCCCATCTTGAAGCCCAAATTGCACCCACCGACATGGTGTTGACGCTTGTGAGTCGTGGCAGCGATTGGCAATATGGCAATGACGACGGCGCTCCAGGTAACGTGGGGGTGGTGCTGAGTGTGGAAAGTTGGCAAGGAGTAGCCAAGTCGGGTGTTCGTGTCCAGTGGCTCCATAACGACACTTCGGCCATTTACCGCTATGGATATCACGGACTGTACGACGTTCAAGCTATTCCAGCAGTAGAAGCGATGAACTCGAACGCGGTCGTGGTGGACGGCGATGCTGTTCAAATCCATACCAAGCCCAAGCCACAGACATTCTTCAAGGGCAGTTTGCACTTCGACGGGACGCAACAAGTGCACATTCCGCACTTGCCATCCCTTGACCGCGATTTTACAATCCAGTTGTGGGTTAAGCTAGACAAGGTCGAAGCCAGCAGCATTTTCCACATTGCGAGCGAAGACCATGCGTGGTGGATGGGCTTTTCGCTCACGTCATCGCACCAATTGACCTTTACCATATGTGACAAGTCGGAAGAAGCCATGTCTGTGACAACGTCAACCGACTTTGAACGAGGAGGGTGGCATCGCGTCGACGTTTGCGCGTGTGGATCGATGATCGCCGTTCACTTGGACTCCAAGCTGCTAGGTCACCAGCGCCTTGCTTCGAAACTGACCCTCGAGTCGTCGGCATGCCGCCTCACGTTGGGCGCGAACCCGTCGACGTCGGTGCAAAAGCTGCACGGACACATGTTTGGGCTGCGGATTTGGAACGCTCCGTTGCACTTGCGCGACTACTCTGAGTTTTTCATCAACGACGAGCGCCATTTAATCGACGAGTGCCCTACCTTTGACCAGTTGGCGATCCAGAGCTCTGTGCAGGTAGGTTTGTGTCTACATATATAGTTTTCTGTACTTATTCATGGACAAACTTGTAGATTCCTCCACGTTACAGTGCTTCTGTGGAAGCGATCCCGCGCGCCATCGTGGCCAAGTCCCAAGCGCTGTCTGCGATGACGTTTGACAATCAATCGATGCATTTTGCCAGCCTTCGAACCAAATACCTGGGCATCGTGTCGCCCACGACGTCAACACATACCAAAGTGTACTATGAAGTCACGTTGTTCACGGCGTGTTGTGTGCAAATCGGGTGGTCGTTCAAGGAGTGCGCGCCGTCGGGGGCCACCAGTGGCATCGGCGACTGCAAATTGTCGTTTGGACTCAATACTGTGGCCCAATCCAAGTGGCATGGCGAGCGAGAGCACATCTCAGAGGTGCCATGGCAAGCTGGAGACGTCGTGGGGTGTTTACTCGACTGGGATGCGGGCGTCATGACGTTCTCGGTGAACGGACGAGTGCTGGACAATATCTGTTTTACAAGGACAAGTTCCAGTGGTTCTGGCGGTGCGACCCAAGAAATCAACTCCCCCACCGCGTCCATGTTAGGCGGATTGTGGGGCGACGAAGAAGAAGAGGACGAAGGCGACGTCGTGAATCATGACGATGTATGCGATGACAATGCGAATGATACTGCTGCCACCACCGATGCCAATGTCGAAGCCGCCGGAAACGAAAGAAATGGAGCACGCCCGACGGTTGTCAACGGAGATACAGCAGTCGACAACCCTGCAAATATCCCCCACAACGTTCCTGATGAGATTGCATGGTTAACCAGCAATGTTACCGTCGACGAACCGGCGGCTTTGACCGAATCGACTGCTCCAAGCACGACCGATCAAGTTGAAGTGGAGCTTGAACCAACTGCAGAACTCCCCGACACGGACAACGACAAGCCAACGAACTCTGCGACAACGTTGACGACGCCCATCTCGGACAACGCCTGGCTCCAACACGGTGGGATCTACCCGTCGCTATCGTTTCGGAGTGCCGACGGCGTGCGGTGGAACTTTGGGCACACGCCGCTGCTACACTGCCCTCCAGGCTATGTGTCCATCGCCGAAGCGACGCAATTCCTCGACCGCCCCGTCGAGTTTGAAAAGTACGATTTCGAAGAAACCAAGTGGCAAGACGTGGCGTTCCGCCATCGCGTGAACGAGACCAAGCCAGCGTTGGTGGGCGAGTGGCTGTGCCTAGACGGTCTCGGCGACAAGGTGGCAGACTCATCGTCGCATAAACGCCACGGCCATGTTGCCAAAGAGGCTTGGACGTCGGACGTGCTGGCCCCGGCGTGGAACTCGGAGGTCGGGTATGCCCTGACGATTCGCCCAGTGTTTGTCAAGGCAAAATCGCTGCTATCGTATCCGTCGTTGTTTGAACCGTCACCAGTGCCTGGACGGCAGAAAGAATACCTCGAAATCGTGCGGTATGTCAACTCGGTGTGCACGGCGCGGTCGATGTCCCTTCACGGCCTCTTGACGGCCAAGTGGTCCAGCCTCGCCCCTGACGCCGACGCTTTGCTTCGGTGGCCAAGTCTGGCGGAATTGACCGAAGCCAAGGCCGACGTCAGCGGTCTATTTCAAGTACTCGTCGAATTCAACACGAGAATCCGCGACACATTGGGGTTTGTGGAACTGACGAGCTCGACCAGCCGCTTGGCGACGCTCGTGTCGTCGGCTCGGGGGTTCATCTTTGGCTTGGTCAAGCACGAACTGTGGGATATGGTGCTCGAGCAAACTAAAGCCCCCACGTCGCCCGACATGGCGCTGACCTTGAATCGACCAAAGGCATCACGGTGGAAGCCAGCAGTGGGTAGTAGCGCCGACTTCAATCGATTTGCCCTGTTTGCCCAAGCTTATCGGGAAACGCTCAACTGGGTGCCGTCCATCTATTGCAGAACCAACAACCTGTACGTTGTGACGTTTTTGGGCGAAAACTCCATTGACGCTGGGGGGCCATACCGTGAAACCCTGAGCCAGTACTGCGTCGAGCTGCAAAGCAGTCAGTTGCCGCTTCTATTACCAGCGCCAAACGGCCAACACAACGTCGGCCGGCATCGAGATGCATGGGTGCTGCATCCTAACGCCCATCAGCACCACGCGGGCATGCTCGTGTTCTTCGGAAAGTTGCTTGGCGTGGCCATTCGCTCTAAGTACTGCCTCTCACTCAACCTATCGCAAGTCGTGTGGAAGCTGCTGGTTCAAGAGCCCATCACGCTCGACGATTTGGAAGCCATCGACACACTCGTCGTCAGCTCGATGCGGTCGCTGCGTACGATTGAACAGAGCGGGGTCACGGAAGAGATCTTTGCCGACATCATGCACGAAACCATGACAACGTTGTCTACGGACAACCGCATGGTAAACCTCGTGGACGGCGGCGACTCGATTCCCGTGACCTTTGCGAATCGACATGCGTTTGCAGACTTGGTCGAATCGTATCGCATGCACGAGTTTGACGTGGCTGCGGGCTTTGTGCGCCAAGGGCTGGGCATGGTGGTGTCCCTTCGCTTGCTTCGGCTGTTTACGTGGGCCGAGGTGGAGGTGCTTGTGTGTGGGCTTCCAGAAGTGGACATTGACTTGCTCGAAAAGTGCACCGAGTATAGCGGCTGCCACGCCACCGACCAGCACGTCGTGTGGTTTTGGGAGGTGCTGCGGGGGTACAACCAAGAAGCACGCCAGGCGTTTCTCCGGTTCGTGTGGGGTCGCTCCCGCCTGCCGCGGTCGGTCCAGGAGTTTCAGAGCGGCCAGCAGTTCAAACTCCAAGCGTTCGAGCGACACCCCGCCGATATGTACATGCCCGTGTCGCACACGTGCTTTTTTTCGCTAGAGTTGCCCCGATACATGTCGCTCGAAGTGCTGTCGTCCCGTCTCACGTACGCCATCTACAACTGTGTGGCTATCGACGGCGATACCAACACGATGCAAGCAAATCAGCTGGGCTGGGAAGACTAGACCTTGCACAACCAAGCTAATAATGTTCTGGTGAATGCAGTACTTACTACATACTATTATAGTGCATATGTATGAGTGTTGTTTGAACGCTGATACTATCTGTTGCGCGCATTTGCAGAAGGGTTTAGCCAATCAGATTGCCGGAAACCATTGTCGAATTCGTGTGTGGCTTCAATTAGTGTGATGTACCAATCACCACCGGACACCTTTTTACATACAAAATTCAGTACAAGATCGACATAGATTTGGCGATTCTGCACAAAGGTCCAAATCTTGGGCAATTTAAGTGGTTAACAACAGCGTTTCAAAATTTGAACCCATTTAGTATTCAACGGCGAGATCGAGTGGCGTTATTCCCCTACACTTGTTTGTATGACATTTGCTTTTGGTACGCTTTTTCCAGTTGCAGGTCGTCCATCTCGTCGAGTGCTGCGTTGCCGGGGGGGTCGAGTGCGGCCAGATGGGCTTGTACCAGAATGCCAACCAGCGCCAAGGCCACCCATCCTCCAATGTAATAGTAAAACTATAGTGACATAAACGTCAAGTAAACTCGAATGGATCCCACGATGTACCGTCGACGGCACGGACGATGGAGCGTCGTTCGGGTAGGGATAAAACGTAGGCGGAAAGCTACGTACGTACGGCCAACGTGAACGATCAACGATGAACGTGGCTTGATAGTAAAGGACGAACTAACGTACTTGCCGACAAAGTTTCCAATGGATTGTACAACCCAATACGAACCAACCCACGCCGTGAGCGCAATGTGGCTGCTTCTACTCGAGAAAATGGAAATATTAGTAGAACAATTTGAAAATATTTAAAATAGAAAAAGTATTGCGTCGTTGGGTCATTGTGATGGGCAAGAACTGTACCGGCCGGAGAAGACGGCCGAAAGGCCGAGGAGTAGGCCAAGCAGAGCCATGACAACGTAGCCGAGAGTGTTGTGGTTGGCGCGGTTAATCGGTGAATCAATGTCTACGGCAAACATGTTAGGCGAATACAACAGCGAACATCACCTACTGTGGAGCCACACTACGTTGAGAACCGACCCAATTTGCACGCCTAGCGCCAATCCTAGGCCCAACACGTGCATGATGATGATTGCCAACATTCTAAAGAAGGCCATACGTACCGAAGAGGAACTTCATAAAGAGCCGCAACATGCACGTGAAAAACGCAAAGAACAGCGTAAATCCGATGGCTGTGATGAGGTTGAGGACTGGAGTGTGTTTGCCAATTGAGTCGGCAATCGCGTCCCCAATGTACCACCCCTACGATGTCGTTGAAACATATACATTAGGATCAAGAATTGGGGTCGAGAGACGGACCACAAAGCCTCCCAAGATCCCCCCTTGCAGAATGAGGGACGTCGAGAAGAACTTGCTACCCAGAAACGTCTAGGCAATGCGTGAGTGAGGTTAGCGTCGGGCATGATGATGATTCTGGAAACGTACGACAAACAAGTTTACAAGCAGCAACAGCACGCTACAGGCCACCACGATGGTGTGCAGTGTATTGGCGTCCACGATGATGACATTCGCATTACTAGTAGAGAGCAACACGCTCGGTGAGTTTAGCATCGCAGGCACGGTCACAGATGGAGAGAACTCGGCACTCGTTCGTGGATTCCGTCGGTCACGGTTGGTTGTTGCGATCCAAGACCGTTACAAAAGTGTAACGTCGGATATGGATCTTTGCGGGTCATATGTAAACACTATTTTTGCATATATTGCTTATATATTTTAATCCATGTTGCCACGGGTTACAAAGTGGAGCATACTCCACGAAATGAATTAACAGATTATCAGCCCATATGCAATTTCTCGAAAATATAAGCAGCCAACAACTTCAAACGGACACATCTTGCACGTTTTTGTACGGGGTGTGGCTTTTGTGCAAGTCCTTCTCCAGGCTGATGTCGTCTGCATCGTCAGGGTCGACCATGTCGTGGTAGTTGCTGTCAAACGTGGTCAAGTGGAGCTGTGTGGCCATGCCACCCACTGCCAAGAGCACCCACGCGCCAATGTAAATGAAGTACTAACAGCAGCGCCATTACATCAACGATATGTACCATCGTCGATGACGCTAAGCCTAGAGGAAGACTACTAGTAGATGTACCGAAGTGGACACCGTCGCAGTGCGCGCGTCTTGCGGAAACGGATAGAAGAGGGATGGGAAGCTACAAAATATGCATGATCCCGACGGCAACACAAATAGACTGCACATTGTAGTCTCAACAACGTACTTGCCGAAAAAGTTGCCTACAGCCTGAATGACCCAGTACGCCCCCACCCACGCTGTGAGCACGATATGGCCCTTTCTACACATACACACCAATTAGGCTAACATTATGGCTAAAATGGCATGTCACGTGAGTCTTATTGAAAGTAATCGAGTGACAGGTTCACGACAGCAGTACTGTACCAACCTGCCAGAGACAAAGGCCAGCGCTCCCAAGACGAGTCCGACTGCTGCCATGACGACGTAGCCAAGGTTGTTTGGGTTGCTCTCGTTAATACCCAAAGTCAACGCTACGTACATCAAGAAGCGGTCGCATGTGATACAGTTGCAGGGGGTGACGTACAGTGTAGCCAGACGATGTTGGCAACCGAGCCAATTTGAACCCCCAGCGCAAAGCCTGCATGTGACAAGGTTGGTCATGTTGGAGAAAGAGGAGCGATATTGGATCATACGAACGAACCAAAGAGGAATCGCATGACGCCTTTCATGCAACATGTAAACACGGCGAGGAAGAGCCCCAGGACTATCGCCACAGACAAATGCACCATGACGCTCTTGGTCTCAGACGAATCGGCGAACGCGCTGCCAATGTACCATCCCTGCCATCCTCATGAACAAGCGATCGAGTGCATAGAAAGACGTAGGTACCATGTAGCCTCCTAGAATGGCGCCTTGGAGCACGAGCGCCGTCGAAAAGTGCTTGTATCCAAGGAACGTCTACGGCCAAGGGTTGCATGGTGAGGAGAGAGAGGTGTGGTCAAGAAGCAAGCGCGACGACGACATACGATGAAGGCGGCGACGACGAAGAGCGCGATACTCCCCAAGATGATCACCGCGCGGAAGGATGTAGTGTCCAGTGCATCTGCCTCTAAGAAGATCGCCTTGGGCGACGAAGCCCAACGGTCCGCAAGGAAAGCAGGCGACATGCGTTGGCAGTTGATTTTACGGTCGCACCGATGATCGTGACCAAATTATGGAATAGCAGTTACATAACCGATCCCGTCCAAGTTCAGTGAGTACTATGTAGTAATTGTTAATCAACTTGATTAACTGTTAATTAATTGTTAAAGTATACAAGTGGTTATCAAAATAAATCCACCAATTATATCTATGTATTTGGATCTGGCTTAACTTTGATTGGATGCGAATACTTGTCACTTAACGCTCATTGGCCAGATTAAAGACAAAAATACTATGTTTAAGCCAATCAATAAACGACATTGACGGCATTTCAACTTCATAAAGCACACTTCAACACGACATCCACGTTTACGATGTGGGCGAAGCGTAGTAGCAGCATTGTCGTGGGAAACCACTCCATGCCCGAACAGATGCGTCAACGCGGACGGTATAGAGACGAGAAATGGAGACGACGCTTCCGGATCGACTACGAACTTCAAGGTAGATCGATGACGTCGATTGTCATCACATGTCGAGACGTAGTGGAGCGACTTCGCCGGACATTGGGATGGTTGTTTAACCAATTCGAAGTGATCCCACTGTTAATGCTTGGTGTTGTTATCATGTACCCGCCGCGGCAACGCATCACAGGTACACTGTTCTCACGAGTCGAATCGGAGCACATCACGTTTCATTCCAGGAATGGGCTTCTTTTCCCTTGGGGTCGTGTCCATGATCGCCCTCGACTATCGCTTCCGGAAACTCGTCGCGACCAAAGACAAGGCGAGCGCAGTATCGCTTGTCGGCATTGTCCTCGTGTGTGCCGTAGAATCCTTCGCCGTCGCGGCGTTCAACGGCGACGTGTCGCCCTTTCACACGCTTTTCAAACCGATCCAGGACCCCACCGACGACGGCGCCACCATCGTCAAGGCCGTCATGGTCAAAGGTACATGCGTCCTACTCTGGATATTTCTCCTTTGATATACTTACTGGATGGCTGATTCTCGATCTAGACCTGGTGCTACGTCTGGCCAGTCTTGGCATCAAGGCCATGATTGGGCTCGTCGGAACACGAGCCAGCACCGCGACGTCATACCGACGCCAACAGCGAATGTATGAGGCCATCGAGGTGCTGACTCTGTGCGTCCGGTCGATCGTGTCCACGTTCTTGTGGGTGATCTACTACCAGTCGGTCCACCTCAAACTGTCGGCCCAGGTCTTGTACGTCGGTGTCAAGGTAAACTGCTGCCAACAAGGATACGTATGTGATTGGTTTTGCTGACAAGTGCTCTAGGGTTTTGTGACAGCGCGCGCAGTCGCGCCCTACCACCTCAAGTTTGGAAGTCCCATCGCCGAATGCTGCATCTGCTTCGACGCGATTCCATCGCCGCGGGCGTGCGCACACATGCTTTGCCGCGAATGCGCGGTCGAGTGCGACAATAATGATCGAGTAGCATCGTGCCACCACTGTCGTCGCGGCCCTGCCACCAAGCATACAAGTTGTTGCCATCCGAAGTACGGCGGCTCGAGCCCGCTTCCCGAATTTTTCTAATGCACATGTGATACCTTCGATTGTTGCTCGTTATGGAGAGACGCGAGCGTACAAGTTACGAGGTAAACGACCTCTGCCAGAGATGCATTCCCAAATAGCACGATATTTGTCATGCATGAGAGCGAAACTCTGAATGACATAGTCTTGTCTACTGATATTTGTATAGATGTATTAGTAGCAATCACCCCACTTTGATACATACATGAATGTCTCTTGGACACTTGAGCAGTGTGAGTGTCGTTGGGTTGTGAGAATACAAGAAGTTAACGTTAGCTACTGTAGCTAGCTATGGATGTTGAGGCATTTGGGTGTTGCGATGGCTATATATATGTATATATTGTGTACAAATTCGTCTACTACTATATAGCTAGTTAGTTGTCGACGCATGCACGCTTCATCTCCATGCCATCATTGTTTCACATTTGCAACATGTGCAAGTACTACATGGGTTGCTTATGGTACATGAATAAAATTGGTAGGTTAGCAACGCCTACAGCCACGGAAACCATGTCGGGTACATCTGGGCCAAGTTGTCGGCACTAGTGGCGGTCGCGATGAGTTGTTGAATCGCTGAAGGGGGCGATGGCGTAGTGTGCGAGGTCGGTTTCACTGCCAGCGCCGACATGCGATCCATCACGGCTTTGACGTTGGCGTCCACGCGCTGCGGCACCTGGTGCTCCTGCATGATGCGGCGGTGGGTGTCGCCATGAGTATGCTCTAGCCGCGACTTGGTCTTGGACGTGTGCCACGACAGCAAGTCGTCCCGAAAGAAGAGGCGCATCTGGTTGGTCATGATACCTTCGTGCGCGTGGCTGGTCAGTGCCTGGGCCACCGCCGCCATGGCGATCGTAAACGGCCCTTCCACGCCGCTGTGGGTCATAAATGTGTGCACATTTCGCGTGAGTCGGAACGGCATGGTGCACGTGGCTTCGACCACGCCGCTGCTGCTGGCGTACCCAGGACGCACTTCGCAGCTCACGACGTGGCCAGTTTGCTTGGAAAAGATGAGCTTGTGCGGCGTGCGCTCGCCCACGTGCATCGCATACGACAGGAACGAACTGAGCGCGAGATGGGTCGTAAAGGCCGTGCGGAATTGAAACAAATCGTCGAAGTGAGGCAGCATCCGGTGCAAATACTTGGTCAAGAGCGTCTCCGACACGTGATGGTCGCAAATGTCGTTGAAAATGGCCAGTTTCACCTACCACATATACACAACACATGTCATTATATTCGGTTGGGGCTGTTCGTCCAAGAGAGATAGATGGGCATCATTCAGTCGTACAGTAGCGGCGGGAGCGTCGCCGACATCGCTCAGTTTCTGGCGGTACAATTCCACGGGGAAATCCGGGTCTTTGCCTTGTGCTTGGCATTCCAGCTCGTAGATCTACACATCACAAATCATATCGAAACATGTAATCCTTGACGGGATCTCCACTATGGGCAGCGAGACGCACCTCGCCTAACGACACGTTGGTCGCGCTGTCTTCGAGAAGGCGCACGCGCGGAGTCAATGGAATCACCTTGGGTACATGGAAGACAATGTGCCGCTTCTTGGTCTCTTTGTGCCGCGAGAGGAGTCGATTCATGAGCAGGTGCATCTGCATCACCCGCTCGTCGCACCGCGTCATGTACGTCATCGCATATTGCACCAGGAACGAGTACGACGCGCCGTTGCTGCCGCCCAATGTGACACGGCGCTGCGTGTATCCGTTTCGGAGCAGCACGTCGGTGGTGCTGTGAAAGTACTGCAGCCGCGCGTGGAGTTCCTTGATTGGCTCGTGGTTGGTCAGGTATTGACCTGGGATTTCCACACATGTGCTGCTCAATTCGACCAAGTGGCGACTGCTGTTTTCCAAGTACAACTTGTCGGCATGACGCTTTCCGTACCGCCGGACGCGGCATTGCAGCACGTACTTCCACACTTTAAGGCGATCCATAATCTGCGACAACGTCGGTTCCGACAACGCATCATCTTGTGTGTCGTCTGTCGGCCTAATACCAACCAAAACCACGATCAAATCAACATCAATGTCGTCCGTGGAGATCGTGGTGATGAGTGAGACCATGCACACATTTGATTTTGCAGATACAATATTATTGATTTGATACAAATTTGGAGTGCAATCGAATCGCGCCGACCAAACCGATCCACAATCGATCTGATTGGTTGAATTTCATTTAGAAGGTTTTGATTGGTTAATAATTTTGAGCTCATCTGAAGTAGCCAATCAAATCGATTTAAATTGCAACGAGAAACCACAACACAATGAAATGTCACTCGAAAGCACAATAGCAAAAACAACATCAAAAAATCCCAAGCCTTTGAACTGCAAGAGTATGGAAACGCGGACTGAGCAACGTACCGATCAAATGATGGGAGCATAAAGTCGGTCTCGAACGGATCCTTGAATTCGTCGACGAACGCAATGTGCTTTTCACTCTTTTGGTGTGGTTGCAACACGAAAAACTTGTTGCATACGCGATTGAGGGTATCTTTGAGCATCTTTGGCACGGGCTCTGTCTTGGAAAAGCTCGGCAACTGGTAGCACTTGTGCAGCAACGAGTGCACGGCCGTGAGCAGCTCGTCTTCAGGCTCGGGACGGAACCGGACAATCATCTCTTCGAGCATGCATTCCATCTCAAACGCCAACGAATCATGCGACCGCCGCAAAAAGTTGAGCAAGTCCTCGGCGTACTGTACTGGGCTCACGTCTGTCTTTTGCAGTTCGCCCGTCGCCACCTTTTCGAGCCACACGTCCAGCGTCAGCACGGTAGCCGACCCAAAGAACGACGGGTTGCTCCGACTCGCGCCAACTAGTCCTGGAATGTCGGCGATCTGTTCATGCGACATGGGGACAGCGACGACATGCCCGGTACGCGTCCGGAAGTACATCATGTCGCTCGTGGTGGTGGATGTGCCGTGCTTGGGGGTGTGCGCCGACGCGACGGGCGTGGGAGGTGCCGACGCCAGCCCGCGGTTATTCGACGACGTGGCATCCGTGGCCTTGTTGTCCATGGCAAAGAGCTCGCGGTTTTCTAAAAAGAAGGCCCGCATTGTATAGTACAGCGCCTGTGGAAACTTGGCCGACAAGCCGCGAAGTAGGCCACGAATCTACGCGAATCAATTCTTAACAAAAAACAACGAACAGACTCGGTACTTGAGATGCTTCGGGGCGACACAGCGACATGAGCAGTTGAGGGATCCACACAATCCAAATCCATATGGGCAGCTGCTTGCCATGGGTTTCAAACGTGTGGATTAGCACTCCCTTGTCGTTGTCTAGACTGAGCAGCCACAGCACCCGCGCCAGCATGAGGCGGGCAAACGTCGACCGATGGTGGACTGCTTGCAGGTAGCACGCGATGGTCTGCGCCGCGAACGCCACGTCTTGGCGCTCGACAAACAGTTTGTCGCAGTACTGGCCCCAGCTCAACCAGCCCTTGCCGTAGCTTTCACAGAGTTGCAAGCTTTGCGAAAACGCAGCGTTCGCGTCATGGGTGTTGCCCAAAGCATCCAGAAACAGCGCCTTCATGCGGAACAGTTCGGCTTTTTGGCGTGTGTCAAAGTACTCCAAATTCGTTTGGTTGAGGATAACCACCCCGCCGTCGAAGTCCTTGGACGTTTCAAAGCAAATGCTCAGCTGTTCGCGTAGCTTGGAGAATGCATCTTGGACATCCATGGCGGGAATCGTGTACAACTGGGCCAGCGAATGCAAACATACGTCTGGAAGGTGCTGCTTGCGCGCCGTATGGGCTAGCTTTAGAATCGACCACGGAACGTCGTGCATACCAGCCAACAGCTGCGCGTCGCTCCAGCTAAACGTTCCTTTGACCACTGCAAACATGTGCGACCGCCACGTCAGGATGTCGTCCCACATCAAAATGGGTTCGTACGAATTGGGCAGCCGCTCTCGCCATGTGTTGATGGATGGTTTCAAGTTGGGCAAGTTGTGCTGCTGCGTGGCGACCTTGATGTCGGCCATGATCTGCAGCGATTCCTTGGCCTCGATAAACTGGTGAAACAGGTGGAGCAGGGGAACATGTGCACGCGATAGAACCCGAGGCAGGCCTTGCCATTGATGCAACGCCAAGTCGACGATCTGAGATACGAGCGAGTCGACTTGGGGCTTTTTGTCGCCATCCAAGATGGAAATGTACAGTTTCTTGAGGCGAATGAGCGGACATCCGGCCTCCGACGCTGCCTGGATCGACGACGCATGCAGCAGTTGCTTGGCGGTGCCCCAGTCGCCCCGTTTCCAGCAGCAGTCGAGCATGAGTTCTTGGTTTTGTGTGGTTTTGGCAAAGTCGTTCATGAGTGACCACTGGCACAGATGCTTGACACATCCGACCCACCGCGCTTCGAGCACCTTCATCTCAAACTTGGTGGCGTCGATTTTGACTGATTTCGATGTTTGCGCGAGCGTGTCAAAGTAAATGTCTTGAGCTTCATGGACAAATCCTTGTGCTTGGAGGTACAGCCCCGCCTTGGTGCTTGGCTTTTGACACACTTGGACGTTCAGACCGACTTGCCAGTCGGGTTCGTTGAGCTCTTGGTAGATGACATCGAGCGCGTCGGCCCATCGCTCGCGGTCTTCCACCAGCGTCAGCGGACTCAGCGCCTGGTACTCGCAGATGCGCAGCACTTGCTGCCATACATTGTACGTGTTGGCAAGATACAGCAATAGCTCGGCCGTGAAGATGGGCATCGGCTGCGCGTTTACGATCCCCGCCATGAACGTCTGGACGACGTTGTGGCGCGCCGCATTGGCTTGCGGCAGCTTGAGTTCCCGGCGATGGTACTTCATGGACAACAATCGCATTAGGTTTTGCGTCGGACTCATATAGTCTGGGTGCAGATTCGCCCAAGCAAACGGAAACAAGCAGCTCCACAGGTGGTTGGCCATGTCTAGGTCGACGTGGATGAGTTCACACAGCGGCCGCAGCACGTCGCCGGCGGTCACGCGGCCCCACGCGTCGAGCGCTTGGATGTGCGACGTGAGCCACGCTGATTGTTGTGGGTGGTGGTCGACATTGGATTCCGAGCTTGCGATTGGCGGAAACGCTGGCGTGGTGTGCGAGGGCACGACCTTGGCCGACGCAAACGACTTGAGCAGCAACTCGATGGCCACCACGGGCCAGAACCGCGTGCCGCACGCTTGCCAGTCTTGGTGGAGGATGTACTTGAGGCGGGCGGTGGGGGACGTCGACGCTCCCCCCGCGTGGGTTTCAAAGTGCGTGAAAAACTCGCCGCGAATTCCCGATTCGCTCGACATGAGTCCCACAAGGAACGGCCCCGACACGTTGAGCGACGGATCCGACGGACTGCTGCGACACAGTTTGAGGATCAGCGCGTGGTACTCGGTCAGGAGCGGCTGCGCGGAAATCTCGTTCAACCGGTCAAACGTAGCCATCTTGGACAACAACAGCGCCTTGTCTTTAACCGTGAACCAGTCGGGCGTTTTGCTTTCGCCCGCCCCTGCCATCATACACGCCACAATCTTTGTGATTTCCAGCAACAATGGCACGTGCGCCGAGTGTTCTAGGCAGTGCGACAGCAGCTGTACAAACAACCGGCCAATCTCGGGCGCGTCGAACGCCGTGCACTGCGCCAACAGCTTGAAGCACGAAATCAGCATGTCCATTGACGCTTTTCGCGAGCCATTCGACGTCTGCGACATCGTCGGCGAAGCACGCTTCTTGGCCGCCACGGGCTTGTTCGCTGTCGCATCTTTTGGCCCGCCAGCCGCCGCCGCCTTCTTCTTCTTGTCGTCTTTGACGCCACTCCCAGTCGCCCCTGCACTTGTACCGTTGCTACCCTTCTTGAGCCGCACAACGTTGTTCACCGTGAGCGTCGATCGACCCGTCTTCAACTGCATGTATTCGTGGACCACGGCCAACGTCGGCGTCGCCATCACGCGGTCTTTGCTCTGGGCGCCGGCGCTTACGCCGACGTCGATGCCGCCCACGGATCCTTCGAGCGACGTGGTGGTTTTGGGCACAATGTGCTGCAAATGCTCTTTCGTGAACCGTTGCGCCAGCTTAATCAATGCCGGCACGAATAAATCGATGAACTTTGGACATGCGTGGCCCAAATCGGTCAAGATGTTGAGCGTGTACGACCCTGGACAACTGAGGCGAGACGAAGGCGCGGCGTGGGGGTGCGGGGTGTGGGCGAACAGCAGCCGCATGCGGGCAGCTTCGTGGTTGATCATCGGGTTCAACGCGCTCAGCTCTCGACGGGGACCCGGACTGGCCGAGGACGACGGCGGCTTGCTTTCTGATTTCACTTGTGGCTTTGGCTTGGGGCTTTGCCCCAACGACGACGACGACGACGCGGTGGGGTCTCCAGAAGCAGCCGCGGTGTTCGGGTCATTGGGAACGGCAGCTGCTTTGAGTAAGCGCTCAATCAATATATCCCGCAGCCACGTGTAAAATTTGCACGCCACGAGCTGTTGCGGGGCCGTGTCTGGCGGATACAACTACAAACAACGAATCGAATCGTTTGATATTTGCATTCGACGAGTAGCTACGACACATATACCTGTATCATGTGCTTCAAATACGTGGCAAGATGGTGCTGCACTTCGTTGTTTTGACGGTCAAAGCATGGTTCCAGCAGCTTCATGATGCGCGGGGCGTACTGTACAACGTACGGCACCGGTCGATTCGAGTGCTGAATCACTTGGGGGGAGATAAGTGTGTTTAATATGCCCAGCACGGCGTTGAGGATGGCAAGGGATGCCAGCGGCGCGCCTTTTGGAACACTCAGAAACGACGGCATGGACGCGCTGATCGTTTCCGGCGGCTGCGTCGGCTTGGCCTGCATGATAATCACTTCGGCTGTCACAGCAATCAACTTGTCAAAGTACGAGAACCGGATCGACGCCGACGGCCACAGGTGCAGCGCTCGGTGGAACAACTCGCCGCACGTTTTCGACAGCCGGTTCGTCTCTTGCTTGTCAGCACATGCAAGGGCAAATCGGAACGCAAAGTTCACAATCAGGTCGGTCATGGCGCCCGTCAGTTCAAAGTCGTCTTCGTGGCCATGGGACGCGCTGTCGTCCGTGTCGTGGGTAGTCGTCGTCGCAGAGGCGTCCTCTGTCGCAGCAAACGATCCGTCCGCGGTTAGCTTTTGGCGCTTACAATCCGAGCCTTTGTCCTCTGTGCCACCGACACTTGTTGATGTATCGGACATACGTTTCGACGACGACGACGACGTTTTGTCTGACACTCGTTGCCGTCGTGCCGTCTCCCATGCAATCACCAAGTCGACGACACTCACCGCGAGTCTCCGGTTGTCTTGGGTGCTACTGGGAGGAATCGCCAGTCGATTCAGCGAGTTCACCATAAGCGGGATAAACTGGCCACGGAATGGGTAAAACAGCGACGGCTGGCGCACAATCAGGTACCAAATGTGCACCAATTGCTGTAGCACATGACCTTCTTCGAACGCAATCTTCTTTGTCCACTTGATCGCTTTGATAAACTCGTGCGCGGGCAGCCGCGTCGGCAGCGCTGGAAGCAAAATGTCAAATGCTTTGCGCACAAGGAACCGAGAGTCCATCTCGTACGTCCGCAGCAGCGCCACGTACACTTGCAGCACAATCTTGGGCGGCGTGTCGTACACCGATATGAACCGGCACACGTTGACATAGGCCCACAGTTTGGACGTCAAGTCGGGTGCTTTCAGGTGGTTCCACGCAAACTTGATCACTTCCTTGCGGTGGTCCGTCACATACCGACTCATGTGTTGGATCAGCAGTGTGCCGAGCTTGAGCAGTTCAATCCGGAGCGCCTGGTACGAGTCTTGGGGGTAGTCTTTACTCGCCAAGATTTCGCGCAGCATCATCATCACAGCTTCAGGGTCCATCACGTCGGCGTTGTTGGTGTGTGGGTCTTCGAACGATGTGTTGAGCAGTGGCATGATCAGAAGCTGAATCGCGTGCACTTTAAGGTCCTCGGATGCGGCTGTATCTCTGAGCATGCGCAGAAACAAGTGGATGATGGCGCGCTTGTTGGCGGTCGAGTACCGGCAGGCGACTTCGTCCCGATAAAACGCACGCAGAAAGCTAAAGTCGAACGACGTGTGGTGAAGGAACACTGTGAGCATGTCCAGCAGCACTTGGACGTCGTCGGGGTTGGCGCGGCAGTACTGGATCAGACACTTGACGAGCAGTTTCGATTCCAAATGGTATCGAATCGGCAATCGATCTTGCGCCAGCAGGCGTTGGACGCGGCTCGGTGACCGCCACAGCTTTCGAATCACGTCGATCATGCCGTTGGTACTGGTCGCGAGCCACGCCGGCTCCAATTTCGACAGCGACCGCACGACGCGGATGCCTTGAAAGTGCAGTTCCAGCGCTTCTTGTTGCGGTTTCGTGGCCAAGTTGGACGAGATCGCAGACACGGGCGACGTCTGATGCAGTTGCTGCCGCGCCATCTTGGCTTGCGCTTGGGCCTTTGCGATTTGGATGTACTGGGTCTGCGCTTGCTTGGCCTTGTCCTGGGCGTCGGCTAGTTTCAGTCCCGACGCTTTCGCCGTCGCCAGAGCCTGCGCGTGTACTTTCTGCGCATTCACTTGGATTTGCGCTTGAAATTGCGCCTGTTGGTGCGACATCAGCGCGGAATTGGGCGACGACAGTTGGGGGGACAACGCCGCCGCCGGCGACGACGACGACGCCAGTTGCAAGTGTTTCGACATGTAGTCCTTCATGACTTGCTGGGCGCGGGCTTGGGCTTGAACGAGCGACAGGCCCTGCGCTTGGGCAGCCGTCAACGTCTGCGCATGCAGCTTTTGCGCGTTCGCTTGGATTTGCACTTGGGTTTGCGTTGTCAAGCCCGTGTTCGTGGCCATCTGGTTGTGTTGTGGTCCCATGTTGCCTGGAGGCGTCGCGGCCGCCTTTTGCAAATACGCAGCCCTTGCCATTTTCCCCTTTTGTTCTGCCAGAGACGCAGTGAGCCCTTGTGCTTGGGCCAACGCAATCGCTTGTGACGCTGCTTTGAGCGCGCCAGCCTGCACGAGGTCATCGACGTCTGAAGGGGTTTTCGGAGTAGTCAGTGGAGGAGTCGACGCTTTGGGGGGCGTGAGAGTGGCCTGGATAATCGAGTTGGTGCCGGCGTCCGATGTCAACACGTGGCGAAGGTCGCCGGCGTCGGGGTGCTTGACCAGCTGCTGAAACAGCAGCGAGTACGTGCTATCGATCAAGTGATCCCGTTTGAGAAAGAATGCAACGGCTTGGTGAGCATATCGATTCAAAAAGCGAACCAGCGGCAACCGGTACGGCGAGCTCCGTTTTCCAAAGCTGCCATACTTGGGCAACACCGCCTCCAGTTCCACAACACACAAGATCAACGGGTCCAAGAACGTATCAGACGGCGGCAGCAAATGGAACAAGTCGACGATCGCCCCCGCCACGTTGGGCTCTTCGCCGCGCTTCCATATCCCCGTCTTGATGATACGCTCGGGGTCTCGCCACTGTTTCAAATGCTCCAACAGCTTTTCCCCAAGCGTCACGTTGAAACAGTTGCTTAGCAACGCGAGTAACCGGGCCAAACCTTCTAGCAACGGGATCGTCAGCTTGCGGTAGTCGGCCAAGTTGAGCAGTACTGGGCGCAGACATTGCTGGAGCAGTTCCTTGGGCAACGACCGTTCTTGGTTGCGCTTGTTCATGATCACTACGTCCGTGAGCGCTTTCTGAGCGCAGTCGACTAACTCTTTCGGCTGACCGGTGAGGAATTTGAAAAAGACCCCCACAAATCGATTGCGTGCGTCTTGGTGTTGATTGAGCGTCTCGTCGTTGACAAACGCTGCGCGAAGCAGTTGAATCGCGGCAATCCGGAGCTGGCACAGTTGGTTCAGACCAAACGGGTACTCGTGGCCGGCGGCGGCACCCTCCGACAATGCCGGCGGGTGGTCGGGTCGGGGCGGCGACGACGACGACGATGAGCTGGTCGGGTCCTCGGATGACACGAGGGTCCACACTTCTTGCAGAAACACCAGCAGTTCTTTGTTCAAGGTAAACACGGGAGGGTCTAGCGTCAGCGCGTACGCCATGGCGTCAATATACCCCGTCCGGGTCCCCAAAGGCAAAAGTCTCAAGCTCGTGCCCATGATTTGCTTGGCCAGGGGTTGCTGGTACGGAAGCACCAGCGCGGTGGCAGAGCATCCGGCAAAGTCGGCAAAGACGTCGATCGCTCGCTTGACGTAGGTGCGGACGGGCGTGCTCGCACTCAAGAGCTCGACGAGAAGAAGTTGGAGCAGCTCCGTGTTGTAATCTGTCAGCGCCGTGGGGTTCAACGCTGCGGCAGCGGCGGTGGTTGAATGCGGAAACTCCAGACTCCCGAGGCTATTCAACGTCTCAGACGCCTTGGTCTCTTCAATCAGGTCCATCATCGTGCGTTCGTCCAGCTTGGTCGTCGGGACGACTGGATGGCACTTGCGCAACAGACTCAAGAACGCGTCGCCGGCCTCTTCGCTGATTCCGGCCGTCACCTCTGGCGGGTGATCCGACAGCACAAACAGGAGCGCGCGCACCATCGACAGTTCATTCTCCCGGCACCAGTCGACGTGGATGCGCTCGATGAGCACATGCAGGCCGCGCGTGCCGCCCAGCTTGTGGCGCCATGAGCTCTTGTCATGACACGCGTGGCTGCATATGTCGCAAATCGTGTTGAACAGCGCGCCGGCTTGCTTGGCGGTGTCCTTCGCGTCGCCGGCGTACGTTGCCTCGGCAGTGTCCACGACGACTTGCAGACCCAGTCGACCCGCTGCCACCACTTTGTCGTCTGGGTCGGATAATGTATCCACGAGCACTTCAAACACCAAGAACGGATCCAACGACTTGGGAACTTCGTGGAAATAAGTTGTGCCAAAGTACGCTTCACGGTACAGTTGGATGCGGGCGGACGTGCCGAGCATCCGACCGGGCGAGAGGCCCCGAGGTCCCGGCAGGATGGCCGCCTTGCCCAACCCAGCCAACACGTCCGGATTCGGCTCGTTTCGCTTCGAGTACGACAGCACGACCAGGGTAAAGTGCACAACCACACAACGTAGCAACGTCGTGGCGTCGGTGGTCAAGTCTACGTCGGCCACACACTCATAGAGCGCCTGGAGCATGATGCGGATGCTCTGTTCATGGGCGGCGCTCTTGTCCTTGGAAGACGTCGACGGGTACGTACACGATGGGGAAAACTGGGTCTCCAGCTCGTCTGCGACACTGTGGTGGTCTTCGTGCCCTGTAAACGACGGGTGCATTCGGTGCGCGTAGCTCGACGACACCATCGACGGAACCCGCAGGGAAATCGCGAGCTGGTGCTTTAAGAACGCAAACGCGTGCTTCTTTTGGTGCAAGATGGTCGCGTGGATCTTGTCGACTGTGTCGCGCTCCAACGCAAGTGTCTTGTCGTCTTTTTCAAGCATCGCTACGTTCGACTCGATGTCGTCGGCTGGTTCGTCGGGCGGGAGGACCGACGACGATGAACCGTCTGGCCGTAGGGGGGTCGACGTCTGGTGCGGATCGGCTGCCGGAGACTCGTGTCGTTTGGCGAATTGCGCGAGCAGCCGGCATACGTGCCGAATGTGCAGGTCCATGGGGATGGCCATAGACGTTTTGGGCACGGCGTCGCATGCAAACTCGAGTGTGACCCCCTCAAAGCTCTGGGAAGCCGGCGCCAAATGCAATGCATCCGTGATGAACTGCCGATTGCGGCCGCCAATCTTGCCCAGGATGCGCATCGTGAGTTCGCCGTACGGGTACGGCGGCGGGTGTAGATGGGTGTTGAGTGCTTCGATGATTTCCGTGAGCAACCGTTCCTGCGACGTCATGATCGGGTACAAAAAGTCGGGGTTCAAGTTGTCCACCCAGTATTCGAGCGTGCGTAGCCCCAGGTTGGCCAATTCCCCCTTGGACAAGATGGCCTGGACGACAGACTTCATGAGCGACGGCAAGTACTGGAGCAACGAGCTGAGCCGGGCGGGAATCGTCAAGCACAGCTCAAGCAGCACTTCTTGCATGGCGGGCTTTTGGATGTGTGTTTGCAATCTCGTGAGTGCCGAGAGTAACCCTGGGAGCAACGGCAGCACTTCTTTGTAAAAGTTTTCAAACTTGACGCCAGAAATCGATCGAAACAGCGCGCGCAAGAGCAGGAGGTAGTTGTCGGGGCAGTTGGTGTGCGTGGCATTCGACAAGCACGACACGATGATGGTCTTGAGGTGCGGAAACAAGGCCACTTCATTGGCTTTGAACAGCGTCACAGACCCAAACACAATCTTGAACAGACGCAGCACGATCGATGCCTTTTGCGCCTGCGACACGACGCGCATCCGCTCAAACGTGAGGCTCGTGATGTGCACGAGTTTCTCGGCGCGATCCATGTCGGGCACGTCGCCGTCCACGTCGACGCCGAGCACGTCCATTTGAGTCACGAGAAAGTTGAGCAGAATCTCGGCAAACCAGCAACTCACGTTGGCATTGGCCAAAAAGTGCTGCGGCACCGTGAGAATCGCATGATCTTGCAAGATGCAGTGGTAGAGGAGTTCAATGTTGGCTAGGAACAGATCCCGAAAGTCCGCCGCGTCCAGCACGGTGCACGCGCCGGCGAAATGGTCGAGCAGCTGCTTCTCTTCGGCCACGGAGCTGTCCGACAGCGTGTACAGGATGAAGCACCGGAGGCCGTTTTGAAGTACCTTGGCAATGAGCGCTCGCTCGTCGTCTGTGAGCGGATACAAGTGCTGCGTGTCGGATGACGCGGCTGGGGTCGCCAGGTCGAACGGCGTCGGGGGGTGGGTGGACGTCGCGTCCATCGACGTCAAGTCCTTCGCGTGGGGGTTCCGGTAGTTGGCCGTGCACCAGATGACGGCGCGGATGCCGAGGATCATGGTGCGGAGCAGCGATTTGACGTCCCGAAGCGTGGGTTCTTCTTCCGGGAGGCCAACATACGACCGCTGCATGTTTTCGTAGGGCGCCAGCAGCTTCTTGAGCGCGGCGTCGACGGCGGACAATGGTTCGTCCGGCTGCGGCACCAGCTTGCTCTGTTTGATCTTGTCCATCGCGCCGCCTTCCAACGGATCCACGCTTCGATCCGAAGATGATGAGGACGATGAGGATGCCATGGACAGCACGACGGGCAAACTCTTGAGCGTCGTGCCAAACTTGGTCGCGATGGTCAGCAGGATCCGCGACAGGATGTTGCGGCCGCGCCATCCGTCGGCGTCCTCGTTCTTGGCGCTAATGTCGACGAGATTCAGGAGCAACCGGATGGCAGTGGTCTGAATCGGCACGGGCAGCGTCGGGTCATGGATGCGTTTGCCATAGAATGACACGATCTTGCTGACTTGGCCAAGGCTAAGCATATCCCGGACGTGGTGCACCATGTCGGCGAGGGTCGAGTACGCCAGCGGCCGGATCTGGTAGTAGCTGCATCGTCCCTTGCCGATGAGGATGTCGTCGTCCATGAGGGTCTCAAGCTGGCCATAGAACCCGCGGCGGAAGTCCGTCGACAAGATGTGTCTAGCGGCCACGAAGATGTCCTTGCGCAGCACGAACGCATCCTTCGGGCACGCCATGAGCAGCTTGACCGTATTGTCGCAGATCGTATCTTGGAATGGCCGCATGAGGTTTGCGAACCCCCGCAGCAAGTACGTCACGAACGACAGCGTCTTGACCTGGCTGTCCAAAAAGTCGACGTACTTGGTCGGGTACAGCTTGGGCGCGTGTTCAGGGCATCGCAAGGACAGCGTCGACATCATCAGCGGCACCAGGATCGGGATGTAGTTTTCAATGTAGTTGGGGTAGCACTGGAACAGCAGCATGATGATGAGCGGGAATTCCGACATGGTCTTGAACGATTCGATGCCCGAACACAACGCCACGTCCGACGATGGCGCGGCGGCGGCGGTGGTCGTGGCGGAGGTCGTGGTGGATGTGACGTCGTCGGGTATAGTTGTGCCATGTCCACCTGCGCCTATTGCCGTCGGAGGTACCTCGGACGAGATGATGTCTGTCGAGGACTCCATGGACACGTCGGCCGACGCTGCAGTCGATAGAGTCGTGTCAGGGATCGCAGAAGTCGTTGTATCTACAGGGGGGATGGAAGTTGACGCGAGTTCATCCGAGGACATCATGGGGTCGTCGATGATTTCGTTGGGGTCGACTTCGAGGGCAGGTACTGTCGGAGCGGATTCGACCGCGACGGGTGTAGTAGTTGCCACGGTTGGGTCTAGAGGCTGAGTCGTGGCTGGAACTGGCGCGGCTGCGGTGGGAACGGGGGTGACGACAGTGGTGGCTGTGGGTTGGCCGATGCTGGCTAGCGGCGGCTCTGGTGGACCTGAGAATTGTTTCTTCATGATATTTTGGATGTTCTTGTACATCTTTTGGCTTTGTTCGAGGAACGGCTGCACTTCGTTCTTGAGTCCAGGGCGGTAGTTCCGGTGCAAGTCGAAGATCGTCTTGAGCGCAATGAGGCAGTTGTCCACGTTGTCCACGGTGAGCACTTCCATGAGCAAGTGGAGAAGTCGACTAGCGTACGGTTTTAACGCTTCGTTGTATGGCAACCGATTCAAAATCTGCAATGTGAGCTTCCGGCATCGATTCTTGTCGTTGTTGGTGAACTGCGGCGGGATTTGGGTGCGCATGATCATTGTGAACACCGGGAAGAGCACGTCCAGGATGCGGGGAAGCTGTGGAGTCAAGAAGACGTCGGCATGCTTGTACAGGTCCGAGAGCTCCTTCAACCTCACACCCACATCGAGGCTGAGCAGCCCCCTGCGGATGTTCTCGAGGTTGTTCATCTGACGAACTTGGGCCTCAACTTATTGCTCTGTTCAACGCGCAGCGCGCATCCGGATAATTGTGATTCGATCCCAGCCGAAATATATCCAACATCGTGATTAAATGATTGGGGTTTAGAATAGGTATTCTGCACTTTTTATTTACGTCGAAACAATTCAAATTGTCCGGATAACATCCCATTTTGCATAATGGCCACAGCGACCGCAACATTGGGTCGTTTGGCGTGCCAGAAGAACTCATTCCTTCAAGAACTGTCCGCCAAAGTCGTATCATGTGTGAAAGCGGCCAGCACCAACGAATATGACATTGTCTTTGACGACAGCGTTTTGTTCCCCGAAGGCGGGGGGCAGCCTGGAGACGTCGGCACCTTGCATCGTTCGACCGACGACCAAGCGATTCCTGTCACGAAGACCTTTACGCACGAAGGAAACTGCGTGCTTCGCACTGACCGAGAGCTTCAAGTTGGCGATGAATTGCTCATGCGAGTGGATTGGCCGCGCCGGTTGGACCACATGCAACAGCATTCCGCGCAGCACTTGATCTCTGCCATTGCGAAGCGAACTCTCGACCTCAACACGACCACGTGGTCTCTCGGACTCACACGGTGCAACGTCGAGTTCGACTCCCCCACTATTACCCCACCGCAGCTTGGTGCGTTGGAATCCGCGGTCAACGACGCCATCGCTGCTGCCCGGCCCGTAACCGCACATTACGCGGACGAATCCTCCGACATCCGAGAGGTCGTGATCGACGGCCTTGACAACAATCCATGCTGTGGAACGCACGTTGAGCACACGGGTCAACTTCAGGTTTGCTCCCATTCTCTTTTACTGCCTGCGACAACGCGGTAGCATAAACCCTGTCGCTTTCAATAGGCCGTCAAGTTTTTGCACTCTGAAGTGGCGCGGGGCGGCACTCGGCTTTGGTTTCTCGCCGGGCGTCGGGTGTTGTCTGAATTCGGCCTCATGTTGGTCCCATGTCCAAACAATCCTTCCTGTGTAACTCTATGTTTCCATCAGGTTTGACCGAGAACGGGCCGCAACCAAGCTATGGAGCTGTCCACCTGACGAGCACATCGATCGCCTTGTGAAACTACTGCAACAGCAGTCTGTCGCCGCCAAGGAGATCAAAGCGGCGCGGTTGGAACTGGCGGGGCTGGTCGCATCGCAGCTGGCCTCGTCGAATGGGTCGGCGGTGCTGCATCGCGACGACGCCGACGCCGCCTTCCTCTCTGCCGTGTCCGCTGCCTTCCACGCCATCGAGTCCAATAAGGACAAGCTCCTCTTTGTCACAGGAGGCACGACAACCGACGGGTGCTTCCTCCTCACCGGGCCCCCCGCCATCGTGACGACCCATGGAAAGGCGGTGGCGACGCTGCTGGAGGGTAAGGGCGGCGGCCGTCCAGGGGTATACCAAGGCAAGGGAAAGAACATGGCAAATGTACCCGCCGCGCAAGCGCTCGTTCTCGACCGATCTTGAGACCTGTTAGATGGTCTGAAACAACCAACCACGTTAATAGTACGATATGTCGTGCTTTGTGTAGTGGACATGGGCCATATTCTGCAGCATGTACGTAGTAGCTCTCGTGAACAAGTACGTCGAATCTATGGCGAGTTCATTGGACCAAGAGCGCAATAATGCGATACAGTAAAAAGTATTCAGGACACGAAATGTAGTACAGGCTGTTAATGCAAAGTAGGGCGACGACTGTGTCGAGTTGCCTCCATATCATTCGCACGCGAGCTTCGAGTCGAAGCTGCTCAGTGTGATCGCAAACGCTTGGAACGGGCACAGCGGCGCGCGAAAGTCCATCGTAAACAGCTCCTTGCCCACGCGCCCAAACTGGAGAATCACCTAAATCCACCAAATATCAAAATATACCACATATCTTGCCAGGCGTACCGTTTCCTGGTCTTCGGGGGTCACGAGCTGAAAGTTCTTGACCGACGCCATGGTCACGCGGCCGTTAAAGTTGAGCACGTACGCGCCGACTTGGTCGTTCCACCGCGGCGGCTTGTTAATCAGGTACGTGAGGTTGGTGTGGTCCTGCTCCTTGCACTTGTTGACCATCTCGTCCTCCTTGGTCGTGGGGCGCCACACGACGCGGGTGCCGTCTTCCCGGACGCGCGGCACACACACCCGCATCTTGCGCGGCCCGCGGTGGCCAAGCACGTTCTTGGCGTACACGGCAATGCCGAGCTCCTGACGGATCGTCGCCGGGTTCACCGTGAGCGTGTGCTGGTCGGCGCCCTTGGGGTTGAGCCCGTTGTCGTAAATGACAAACTCGGTGCCGATAAAGTTGGCACGGAGCTTGCCGAGAAAGTTCTCACTGCCCTTCCGGCTCAAGTCGCCGCGCTGCATCGAGATAAGGTAGTTGCTCGTGCGGTTGTTGGGGCGTTTCTTGGCGGTCAAGAGGAACCGGTCACCGTCTTTCATGTACAAACAGTACTCTGGAAATAACTTATTCGCGCCTGTGCGGTTGCGCTCGATGTAGCACTCGACGACGTCGTACGCTTTTGGCACTGGTCTACAGAGGTTGCCCCCATCATGCATCAGCACATGATATTCATGTGGAGGACCACCATCAGACGACTACATGCATACTGTACCGCAACAGGAACGCCTTCATGTCGGTGAGGTCGAGTTTGCCCTTCTTCACCGTGCCTTTCTGGGCTGACGCCGCCTTCTTGTCGTCAAGCATAGACACGACGCCTTCGTCGTTGCCGTCCTCTTCCGACGACAAGTCTGGCGAACTCGACCGGTCGCGCGCCGATCCCTTTAAGACGTTGCGTTATGATTTGCTTGACACGATATCCCACCTTGTCCTTGCGAGTGGAATCGCGGCCGCTGCCTTTTTTGGGCTCCACCCACGAGTCGTTGGCGTCTTGTCTTGAGAACGATCGGTCCTTCTCCCGGGACGGCGGGGCGCTACAGTGGGTCCACAATGGTCAAGACATGTTGCTGAGAAACGTGGACGCACTCGCCGCGCCGACGAGAAGGGCGGTCGGTATCTTCATCATCATCATTGTCGTCATCGTCGTCGGCGTCGTCCTTGGGTCGGCGGCTGCTGCTGCGGGAGGTCACGGGTTCGTCCCGACGGGTCCTACTGGTACGATCCATAGGGGCATCTTCCGGGCTATCGTCTCGCCATTGCCGGCCGCCGCTCTTCTTCTGCGTGCCGGCGGTTCGCCGGTGCCCCACGTCCTCGTCCTCGTCAACGTCGTCGTCGTCGTCAAAGCGACGAGAGGACGGTGTCTTCTTGGTTGCTGTGGCCTTGCGGTCGTCGAGAAAGTCGTCTTCACGGCCGAACCGTCTAGATGGCATATATTTACAAGGAGCATGGTCAGGACACAGAAATCGAGGTTGCATGATGGATTTCGTACGAGGGCTTGTCGTCGACGTCGGTGGGGCGTGGGGCGGAGAACTGGCGCGCCCCGGCCGACCGCACGGCGCCTACCAGGGTGTGAGATGTCAAGAAGCACACGTTTGAAGTTACCTCCGTTCATGCGCTCCTGCATCTTCTTCTTGTGCAAGTCTCGCTGCTGTTGAATCACGTTCGATCGACTTCCAGCGGGCCCTCCGATCTCTTCGATGTCGTCGTCGTCGAGCATGTTCGGGTGCAACTCGCGCGTGTTGCTGCGCGGCTTGTCCCCGACGGACAGGCGGTCGTCGACGTCCTTGACGAGGTCGATGCCTCGTCCTTTCCGGCCGTCGTCGTCGAACGAGTTCTCGGGCATAAACATGATGCGCCTTGTGCTTTCTGTGTGGTCGCGTCGCTCGCCTTATGAAGAACAACGACCGCGTCGTTTCAAGCTTCAACTCTATTTTGGGCCAAACATTCGAGCCAATCAACGTCGCCGGCGGTGCTAGAAAGGATGTCACCAACTTACAATCGATCGACCAATGAAAACCCTGATCACGAATCAAGTAGCCAATTAAATCCACTCTTCGATCGACATCGAATTAGTGTGTTACTTAAATTAGTGTGACCATGGATAAATCGATTGATAGATTTGGCGAATCAGCATAAAAGTCCAAATTTTGGGTAAAAGGACAATTATAACATCGTGCTAACAGCTGTAAATGAACAAACAGAACGAGGACGGCAGACGAAGGTGGTTGGAAGGAGGAGACATACCTGATTTATCCTTTCCTAGTCGTACTAGTACATACTAGTACTGGTAGTAAATGGTCATTCTGCAATATGCCCTAGCCACCATAGTCTCGTAGCACTTGCTAATGGGCCAGAAACGTCGTAAACCTGCTCAAATAAGAACGAGGATTGTAAGATTGGCCATGTACTATGGTTAACTTTATTGAGCGACGAATCCGCCATCGACCGAGTGCAAGCTGCCCGTGATGAACGATGCTTCGTCGCTGGCGAGAAATGCGACCAAGTTGGCCACTTCCACCGGCAGCCCCACGCGGTTGAGCGGTTGGAGCGATCCCATGCTCTGATGGATGGCCTCCACGGGCGTGCCAGAGGTTTCTGCCCACAAGTTGATTTCACGGCGATACAAAGGCGTATCGATCGTGCCAGGACACACGGCGTTCGCGCGGATGTTGAAGCTCGCGTAGTCCAACGCGGTGGTGCGGGTCATGGACGCCAACGCGCACTTGGACAAGTTGTACGCGAACGACGTCTTCTTGCCCACAAATGCTTGGTCCGACGACATCAAGATGATGCTGCCCTTCTTTTGTTCTTTCATGCTGGGAAGCACCGCTCGAACGGCAGCGTACGCGCCCTTGATGTTGATCGAGATGATGCGGTCCAACGCTTCTTCTGTCGTGTCTTCAATGTTGGCGCTGAGGTACACGCCAGCGTTGGCCACCAACACGTCAATGCGACCAGTTTGAGTAGCGATGGACGCGATCGCAGCTTCCACATCCGCGACTCGGCCCACATCCACTTCGACAAAGTTGCCGACCTTGGACGGGACAATGTCTAGGTTGTACACGTCGTAGCCCTGGGAGAGAAGCTTTTCGACGCACGCTTCGCCGATGCCCTTGGACCCGCCAGTGACAATGGCGACAGGGGTGGCTTCGTTGTCGGACTTGGCGCGCTTGGGTTGTTGTGTCATGTTGGCGAGCTGCTCGGAATATTGCAAAATGGCCATCGTCATCAAATCTCTATCAAGTTGATGAAATTACCCCTGATTGGTTAAAATAATTATAATTGGGCAAATGAAATACCTTTTTCAAGGAATTCGACCATTGGATTGGATAGTGATTAATAATTCTGACCAATCCATTTCGAGTATTTATTGCCGTCAGCAGTTGTTCAAAAGTCGAGTCTGCTGCATGATGATCCAAGCCATCTTCTACAGCGAGTTCGACAACATCGCGGGGCCACAGATCGTTTATCAAGCACCGCCAAAGTAGACTACCTGCATGTCATGCTTGTTGATTGAAGGTGCATGATGTCGTGCCTGTCGTAGTGCGTTAAGCAACGAAGTGTTTGACAGCGTCTCCGGCTACATCATCATCGACAAGGCGTTGTGTGGCAAGATCATCACAGGTGCGTCTCATCGTTCAGCATCAACACAACTCACTGTAGAGTTCTCACTCCAACGAATGGCTATAGTGTGTCCGCAAGGCATCAAGATCGTGGGGTACCCCGTTTGCATCGAAGACGACAAGTACCATCGCAACGCGCTTCTCTTCAACATCGGTACGATCTCTTGTACATACCCTCTCTCGCACCGTAAGCATCTCCTCACATGGACATGACAGGATTCGTGTTTGACAAGGACGCGGACGCGGCGCCATACAAGCCGATCTTGCGGAAACTCGGCGCGTTGATGGAGAGCATGGAGAAAGAGATGGGGTTCCTCTCCAAGGAAGCTTCAAAGGTACTCCTGTACGTCCATCGTCGTCCCGTCATAATCATGACCTCTCAGGCAACGCTCTCCACGATCCTCCCCTCCATCTTGCACGACCTGACCATGTACGGCGAGAGCACGACTACCATCGACACGGCCAACATCATCAACCTCAAAGTGTTTCAAAAGCTGCCGCCGCCTCCCAACGTGTTGGACCACCAAGTGCCCGTGGCCATCCGTGACCTGCATGATCTCTTGAAGCACAGCGGTACATCGTCGTCGTCTTCTATGTTGTCCTCGTTCCAGACCGAATATGGAAACATAGTTGAATGGGATCTGGCGCTGCAGAAGATCGTGCCCCACATCGACGGCGTCAACTACGTCAAGCGCATCGCGATCGCCGCCGAAGTGGACATCGCCATCGGTATGTACGCGATGGACGACACACCATGGACATGACGGACGACGATGTGGTGGTAGTCAAGAGCTGTCTGCGGCAGCTGCTCTACTACCGATGCATCACCATGATCGATATCTTTATGCATTCCAACAACTATGCCACAACCCCCAAACTCCACTCGTTCTTCAACGACCCACTCCTGCAAGTACGTGTCCTTCTAACGAGGGGTGTGTATCATGCGTGTTCCTGTAGCAAGAGTGCATCGAGTACATTAGCCATGCCAACGGCCCGCCGCCGCCGTCGTTTGCTACAGTGTTCTCGCTCTACTGCGCGCTGCAGCCCAACACACCCGTGGCACATGTGTGGACGTCGTACGGAATGAAGATGAGATCTCCATAGAGAGATGCAACTTGTGGGGTGCATGATGATTGATCATCATGTGTGTTGTGGGTAGGCATCAAGAGCTGCTCGTGCACGTCGACGTGCGTCGGCTGATCACGTTCGGCCTCGTCCATGGCTTCTTGCGCCGAATCCACCGGTATCCAGTGATCATCGACAGACTGTCGTCGCGACCAGCACAGATGCTGTCGTCGTCACCGTCCACGATGAATCTGCAGGCCGCCAATAATGGGAACAATGCTGTCATGAACATCCGAAAGGCAGCCACGCCGCACCACGGTACGTACGACGACAATCCCCGCCCGATGTTTCCTTACATGCCGTCAGGTGGCGGAAGCAACGCCGTTCGGACGGCATTGGTGGATCGAGAAGTCGTCAAGAAGATGATGGATGGACAGCACCACACGGACGAGATCTGTTGTACCCACATGATTCGGTACTCGGACTTGGAAAAGGTGTTGGAGGGCGAAGCATACTGCTTTGTGCTAAAGTAACATGACTCCATCTGTCATGGAAGCATGAAGTCCTCCTTCCGTCGCTCCATTCTATGGCGCGATCAATTAACGAATTATAATACAGCCCAGAAATAGAGATTCTCTACCAGTTTGTATGTGATTTTAAAATTATATTAATACTTCGTGCATTCCAGCCCCTGATCGATCATTGGGTTTTGAATTCGTGATACGCTCCACAGAGACTACGATGGCGGCACCGACGGCGTCGACGACCAAGGCGGCGCTCCGATGCCGGTGTCTAGGTGTCGAGGTCAAATGGCGAGTGAGCGATGGAACGACTGTGAAGGAAGGCGACGTCGTGTTGGATCTCGTGGCCCTTGACAAGACGACATCGACGGCTGTGTGGTCTCCTGCGTATGGAGTGGTGCGGCACCACCCAGAGCCGACAAACGCTTCGACGGACGGCTTGGAAGCGGACATTGGATGGATCGACATATGCCAACACGATGTCCTTACATCGAATCGCTTGATGTGCCAGATCTGCCTGAAACGATTCGAAGATGGCGGCGCCAACCACACCGTCAAAGTGATCATGAACGACGGCAAGGCCATGCAAGTGAGTCACACCCAAGCCAGTACGGGCATGCATACCTCCACGTAGATGGATCGTTGTTTGCACGAGGATATTGACCGACGAAGCTTTGCTTTAGAGAAACTCGACAACGACAACATTGCGCGCATGTTCAAGACGGAAAAGTTGACCCTCGTCCTCGACCTCGACCACACGTTGCTGCATGCCGTGCGGCTCGAAGACGTCGTCGACCCCATCGAGTCGTATGGTACTACCCCATCTCCATTCCACTTCCTCGTCATCTATCATCTCCATGTGTGACGATTGCCTAGTCGACATCTTGCATTTCGAGATCCCGGGTATCCCCACGCCCCATGTGCTCAAGCTACGTCCGGGGCTCGCAACCTTCCTCTCCGACTTGGCAGCGATGTACGAACTGTGCATTTACACGCACGGCACGAGAAAGTACGCCGAGAAGATCGCCGACATCATCGACCCGGGTCGCAAGTTGTTTGGCGGACGCATCATTTCCAGGTCCGACACGCCCGACATTGGCCACAAGGACCTCAAGTTCCTCTTTCCTTCCTGCGATGATTCCATGATCATCATCCTCGACGACCGCATCGACGTGTGGAGGGTACGCAGCTCTGCCGATGCTCGCGGTTCGTCCACTGAGTCCCCTGTTGTCCGACTTAGAAAAACTACGAAAATGTGTTTATCATTGAAGCATATCATTACTTTAACACCCGTGCCGAAATCAACAATGCATCGGGCGGCGGCGGCGGCAAGGGCAATCTGGCTAGCGTGCCCAAGGAAGACACCCACCTGCAGAAGACGTACCGCGTACTTCAGGTACCTGGCTGCATATTGAATACAGTATATATATATATATATAGTGTGCATTTCACCTACCGACTGGGAGTGATTTTTCGCCAAATTGACAATCTCATTGAATCTTGTGCAAACTATACAATACAAAATGTAGTAAGTAGTAAATATGAGGTTTAGAGGGCTGAATACAACGTTTGGATTGGTAGAAATTCACCAGGACGGGATTTGATTGGCTAATAGTCGGTTGTGTAATCCATCTCGCTCAAGATATATGGATGAATACACTCTAGTTTCGAAATGTCTATGGGACAATATATATTATATTATATATATATATATATATTGAAACACCACTTTTATTCCATGATAATACATCAAATATGCAGGTTAAAAATTGATGACTCGTAGGCGGCGCACAGTCGGTTCTATCAACCCGGCGCAGACGAAGAAGCGCAAATTCGCGGCCAAGGACGCAGTGTCAAGCGCATTCTGTACGACGTACGTCCTGTATATATATATCTGTAAATTTATATACTAGTTACTTCGAAGTACATAGCTTGTTGTATATTAGTAAACATGATGGGTACTCTTGTCATGGGGGATATAGCTCCGGCACCAAGTGCTCGCGGACGTGCATATTGTCTTTAGCGGGGTGATACGACTCGACCGGCCGCCCCAAGTAGATTACCTGTGGAAACTCGCGCTATCATTTGGGGCCAAACCCAGCATGACCATGGACGACGTTCCTATCACACACTTGATCATCGACCCCCGGCGACTCGGTTCTAAAAAGTTCATGGATGTACGTCAATTTATATATAAATATATATATAGCTGATTGTGTCGAGGTTTCATGGCGATGGGTACTGAACTAGGCGATTGCCATGAAACATGTGCTGGTTGTGAACCCTCAATGGCTGGTGGACTCGGCGTCCGAGTGGCAGAGGCAAGATGAAGCCAAGTACGCCGTGTCGTCGTCTTCCCAGCGCCCCCCGTCCTTTGCAGCCGACACCGACGTCAAGCTGGAACAGTCGGCAACCGTAAAATTTGAAGGGGAAACAGCGACAAGAACAGACGTACCGGTGCGACCGACCTTGTTGGCATCAACACCCGAGAATGCAACGGAAAGCGAAGAAGGACGAGGAGGTGATGGCCGTGAAGAGTACCCGCCAGCCACCCTCTACGACGAAATCGACGCCAGCATCGATGCGGAAAGTCGGTTGCAAGAGACTACGACTGCTGTCCCCAATGCAACGGAAACACCAGCAGCAGTAGCAACGTCTTCTCGTGATGGTGCCGCGGGGACGACTGGGAAACCTCTCGTACGTGTCTGTATATGATATTGTCCTTTTACCCAAAATGTAGACTACTTTTGTGCAGAACCCCCAAACCACCCATCTATCGATATCGATTCTTTGTACTAACTTTTCAATGTAAAATTGTGTCCGGTGGTGACTGGTATCACACTAATTGAAGTCACACACTAATTTGACGATGATGATCGTTTCCTGCAATCTGATTGGCTGAATTATTCTGCCGATTCTTCGGATCATTGGGTTGTGTCGATTCATTCTCCAATCGCTCGCGTCCAGTTTAGAATGTGATCACACAATACAGTACTACATTTGCAACAACAACAACGTCTGTGACACTGTGCGTTTCGTGGTCAAGAGTTGAGATATGGTATTGTCTTTTACCGAATATTTGGCCTTTTGTGCTAATTCTTTGCCAAATCTATCGATCGATTCTTTGACTTTTGCATGTAAAGATCGTCCAGTATCACACTAATTTCAATCACACACTCATTCGATGTTGAATTTATTCGAAGAGTGGATTTGATTGGCTAGTTGATTCATGTTTTGTGTTTTGATTGGTCGATGTATCGATTCTGTGTGGTGCTGCTGCTCATTCGATTGAGCACTCCAATTTCGAATGAACAATATTCCTGTATGACTGACGTAGGTCAAAGGTATCTTGTCGTCGCCGGCGTCGATTGGAGTGCACAAGGCCAAGAAGAGCGTGCGGTTCGCGGCGGATGTCAAGGAACCGTCGGTGCAGTTCAGCAACCTGCCCAAGCGAAGTCGAGGGGTGCAGCGGAAGGGAGGGCCGCTTCCTGCGCGGGTGACCCCCAAGGGCGTGGTCGAAAGCGGGGGATCGCTCGAGTTTGTCACCAACCTCGTCAGCCGCAAGCCCAGGGCTGCCAGCAACGTCGCGCCGCCAATGTTCAACCGCGTCGTGGTGGCTCCAGCACTTGCTTCGAAACGCGTGGAAACCAACGACGACGACATATTTAGTCGCCTGGCTCACTTGGAAGAAGAAGAAGAAGAGGAGGACAAGCCGGTAAAGCGAAAGCAGTCGGCACTGTTTCAAGATTTGGAGGCCGCGAAGAAGGCCAAGACACTTGCGCTACAACAAGCCACCGACGACGCGGACGATGACCTGGTAATGATATATATATATATATTATGGAAGGGATGATTCTAATTTGATATTTGTAGGATGACCTGGACGACGAATTGTTTAGTTGAACACGGAATAGGTTGGACGCATAACAAAACTCTTGAACATGATCAAAATCAAACACGTTGTTTATGCTTTAATGGCATTTTGAATGGCGCAATGTGTTTCAGCAAAAAACAATAAAAAAGCATATCGAAACGTCTACTAGTTAAGGCAAAATTGGCTCCGATATATTTAGAACATGCTGGAGGGTATTTATCTCGAGCATCAGCGTCGTCGACATTCTAGGCAGTTTACTGTATGACCATGGGCTATGCAAAGAAGAACAGACGACACGGCAAAGAAGACTCGGACAGAATGACATTGACAGACGGTGACTCGTTGGAGGACACCGCTCGGGTGGAGCCAACGACCTCGTCGTCCCGGCCATCTCTTGAGACCAGCAGTGGCGACGACAGAGTTGCTAGCTCATCGCCGCCAACGGTTGGCTCGCCGGTGCAAGGCGAGCCATTGCATTCCACGCATGCTTCGGATGCTCCCATGCCGTGCAATGCAAACGAAGATGAACATCATGTTGTGTCGATACCCCCTCGAGTCCAAGTGACTACTGGTACTTCAGACACGACGACCGTCCCCGTGGACTTGGTCGAATGCGACGACACCATCGACGAAGACGACTACAACTTCCGCCTCAAGTACCGCACCGAGATGACGTGGCAGCTCGTGTACTTTCTCATATGGAACCTCCTCGCGCGGCACTCGTGGGGTCTATGGATCGAATTTGCCGGCGTCGTCCTCGCCTACTCGGTCGTGGGCGTCGCTGGCTCGCTCAATCCGAAGCGGTACCCGGCGTCGTGGTGCCTCTGGTCCGTGCGCTGCTACCTCTGGCTCAACCCCCTCGTGCAAGTGTACAACGCGCTCTGGTTTGGGCGCCTCTTTTTCCTCGACAACGTGTTTTGGTTCACTTACGTGACCATGCTACTGAATTTTGGGGTGCTCTACTGCGGCTACGTCAGTGCCAGCGAATACTATGACAACGACCTCGTCCACTTTATGCAGCGGCACTTTGCTGCATCACCATCGTCTGGTCCTAAAGTCAACGGCGATACAGACAGTAGTGTAGCCGTGGACGTGGGAATGTTACATTTGAATTGACTTGTAACCGATGTAACCGAAACATTAAAGTAACCGTTATAACTGGCATCGCCAAAACGGAGCGAGGTCATGCTCCTCGTTGACGACGACAACGTTCGCGAGGCAAAACTGGTCGAGTTATTTGACCTGCTGGACCATGATCATTCAGGTAATGCTGCTGGTAGTTGCAGTTGAACGATGTGAGCTTGGTGACTCAAATACTAGTGGGTAAATGGCCTTAGGTGAAATCGTACGTGCAGTCGAGTTCTTGAAGATTGATAAGGACTCTCATAGTTTGTAGGACGCAAATGAAATGCGATTGCTTGGTTTGGCCATCACAGGCGCGAAAGAGCTGCCCAGTCTCGACGAAACCAAGTACTGTACCCGACTATGACGTTTCTTGTGCGAATAATGCCAACATGACGATTGTGTTCGGGTGGCGGCACACAGGGACCAACTCCGTCGTGCCGATTGCGACCGCAATGCCCGCATCAAGTAAACCATACACTTAAAACCATCCCAAACGTTGTAGTCCTCATCATCGCGTTAGTTTAGCCGAGTGGGTGGCATTTGGCAAAGCCACGTCCTTGTTCACGCTGGACTTGACCGAGTTTTTGGTCACGATGGACACGTATGCCGACCGCATCCATCGCCATTACGACGACGGAGGGCATTTGCGACCGACCACGCCACAGGGCCAACCCGTGCCAGTACGCCACAAGTTGCCCCCGCTCTTGAGCTCCAAAAGCAAGCGCTTCATCCGTCGTCCACTGATCGGCAATTCAACGGATCGAACTGAGCGTCCCCCGGCATCGCATTCCATAACCCCATCGCACACAACGAAACCAACAACATCCAACTGGTTTTGGGGAACCTGTTCGGAATGTGCGCTCCCAGGGCGAATCTCGTGCAGTGATTGCAACGTACGTATGTTGTCCTCTTGGGGTGTGTAGAGATTTATTTGATAGTACCCGCCCAATCTACCACACTTCATTCGCCGTTCAAACTACCGCACCAGCGTCATGACTTGATGAGTTTGGTAGATTCTGCTGTGTCTGAGTCATGGCGCGTCGCACGCCGTGACGCACTTGCATCCTCCTAGTACTCTGTCAAATCAACAAGATGAATCGTTGGGACAACAAGGACTTGGCGGTCCAAACTCAGGTCGGACTGTACTAGAAGTAGGCACATCTTGTCTAGCTTGATCACATGTGAATTATGTGAATATACTGACTCCCAACATGCATAGGTGACAAGTCAACAACGAGTTTGCAGCTCAAGCCAATTCCACGCATCACCAATCGCAAGACCGAGTCGTGCAGGGTCATGTGAAGGCGAATACACTTCGTTTCATCCATTGACTGATGTACTTACATATTTTATCGCGAATGTGTACAGCGTACCTACTTGGCTATCCTGCTTTGTTTTCTACATTACACTTCACAACTCCTCACGACGCTGTTGTCGTGGGACTGGATCGACGACGCTTCTTGATCGCTCGATTCACCGCCGCGAATTGGCCGAGTTGAGACGACGGTGGTTGGTCATACCGCCACGCAATCATCTCGATCAACGAACGCTCCAACGCTTCACCTGACCAGTGCATCCAAGGTACGTTGCCAGTAGACATTTGGCTACAGAATGTACAACTCGTCGGCGCAATATCTCCTGAAAACACACACACAAGCGAGTACCTGTTGAGTTCATGGCCCTGTCGTCGACGCTTGAGCTCTGGCACGACCCGGCGCGGCATGTACCCTGACAAAGACAGTCGTGGACATCGAGGAAGAATAGGGGGGATTGCACGCACCTGGGGGGGGCGGCGGGGGGCGCTTGATGAACGTCACACACTCAATGTCGTCGGCATCGACGCCGTAGAGAGTGCTCCATGGGCCCAACATGGCTTTGTTTCGCTGCTTCTGTGGAGTTGCATGCACGGGAGACATCGGGCGTTGGTTCTTGTGGTGTTTGGGGGTGACGACTTTCTCGGCACTGAGCAGCTCTTGGCGGATTTTCAGCTTGTTTGCAATACTGTGGAGCTTGTTCACTTTGCCGAGGCGTGGACTCGCGGAATACGGAGCGTGGGATGACAAGGGGTGTGGCGGCGTCGCTTTTCCCAAAATGCCAGGGAATTGATTGCGACCGCGGAATGGCTGAGATGATGATGGTGTAGGGGTGCTTTTTACGGCAGAACCACTCGCGACATTCTTCTTGATGACCGCGAGAGCTTTGGTGAAGTCAAAGTTGCCAGCATACCCACTCGCCGCCTTCTTCGGCGTCTCCAGCATCGTTGTGCTGCCCATTTGCTTCCATCTAGGACGAGGATGTTGTCTTGGGATGAAAAATGAGTGAACCTACCGTTCGTGGCATTGGCGACCGCTCTTGTGTGTAAAATGCGAGGCGATTTCGTTCCAGTTCTTCGTTCCATATTCATACACCAACGACCGCATCTTGACGTCGTCCTGATTGGATACACGAGTGAGTGAGCGATGCGCCACAGCAATATAGAGATGTTGCGTACCTCGATTGACCAGCTACCTTTCAAGTTGCAAGGAGTTGACACCTAGTCATGGAAGGTTGACGACTGCGGAAAGTGCCACTGGCTACTTACGGCCTTGTCGGGTTTGGAGGCAATGAGTCTAGTCAATTCAAATCGTTAGCCGGCATAAACCGTCTTTCAAAGCGAACATGTTCACTCGACAGCACTGGAAGTGAAGCACGCCACACACCTGGTGCTGTCCTTCGTGGCTCCCACTTTGGTGCATGGCGGGAAGTTCTCCTTGTCTAGCCAGTTCCAGACGTGATGGCCTCGTCCATAGCGTTAAAGGTGCGTTACCTGACTCGAATTCATGAATCTTGCTGGTCGGCGCCTTGGGCAAGTGCGTCGATGATGCCATGGGACTGCGTCTACTCGGCACGAGGCTTGGCACTTCTGTACGTACAACTGGATTTCACCTACACGCACCATCACTATCCGGACAATAGAATGCTCTCGCCATAATATTTTATGCAATCACCCGTTGTGCTTACAAATAGGGCGTTTCTTTAAAATGGTTTTAATAAATAACATTAGGCAACGTTATCCGTATAGTGGCGGGAAGTTTGAATTTTCCGCCAACTTTGTAACGTTATTACCTCGAAGTACAATCGTAACCTTCACAGTCCCTACGATTATTAATACTATTAATAGGATTAATAGTACTAGTAGTCCAGAGTAGCATTTTCAACACTGAATTGCCCCTCCAATAAATCGATGTACTACTGATCTCCCCCCCAGATCGAAACGCCGGAAAATATTAAATCTACACAGTATATGGAGAAGAACAGGTATTAAGTATTGAAGAAAATGTTAACAGCCAATTAAACACTGACAAGTCACTCAATATGCAAATCGCCCATTCGTTGGCCAAAAGCGGCAAGGTCGCAGTCCAAAATTCTTGTGCGGGCCCAACAATTGG